TGGGTGAAAAGGACTGCTGCGATGCATGTTTACAGGTTCACACAAGGCAAAAATGGCATTACTTTTTCTGAATTGGACCAAGAAAGTACTTTTCTCCTGGAGAGAGCCAACAAAAAGATTTCTTGACTTGCTGCTCCATCTGGTGGGAGACACACAAACTGATTGCAGCCAAAACCACCTCCCCCAGATTACCTTGCTAACTGAGGCATAGATTTCTCCCCTGCCCCGATTAGACTGGGAATCAACGTTCTGCTCTATTATAACTCAAAACTGGTTCATTTTTAGGGTGAAAAACAGACTGCCCTGTGAAAAGTCTGTGCTCCATTCATTTCATCAGTTGGTGGATGACTTCTTGAGCACTGGACTTCTTGTAAGTGAGGACCCTCGAATACTTTTGAAATATGCATGGGTGGCCTTTGGACATCAACTTCAAATGGCTATTGATTTAGACATTTGGCAAGTTTTGTTGTTGTTATTAGTATTATTATTGATTTCAGATTTCAACCAGGCCCAATCCTGCTTAGCTTCCAAAATTAGGCAGGATCAGGCACTTCAGGCTATATGGAAGCAAATAAAAGAGGAATTTAAAAAAGAAAATCAAGCATCCACAGACTCCTTGCTGGGTGCCATGTTGGGGGAACATTTCTAGTTTAATTTGCAAGAAGCCAGATAATATCCAGATTCCTGGTGGAGGGTGATTTTTAAAAGTAGACAAATGGAAAAACTGGAAAAAATATAATTGTGTTCATTGTTTGCATGGTTACAAGTATATGCCTACTTACCTGGGAGTGAGCTGACGAAATGCAGCGGCGGCTACCTCTGAGTAGGCATGCTGAGAACTGTCCTCTTCATGTTAAAGGTGCCCATGTTTTCATTTTGTAATGTCCGGGTTTTAAAAATTATAGTTAATTTTTATCTTATTATCTTGTGCAATTCCAGAGCCTTTTGCTGGAAAGCAATAAAAGCTTACTGTGCTGATACTACTATTGTTGTATCCATTGCTACTATTGCTACTATTTTAATTTAGCGTATTGAAATTAAATCCTTTCTTAGCACAATAACAACATCCCACGGGACATCCCTGCATTTAATGACTTCGAAAGCTTTCGGGTCTCCTCGGCAAACTTCGGCTCCGTCGGGACGCTCACCCTCCGGAGGCTTGGGGAAAAGTAATGAAGAAAAGAGAGGGAGGGGAGTAAGAAAGCGTCACGAGGTCCTGTCCCCCAATCAGGATCCAGCGCGCCTCTGCCGGGGGAATCTCGCACGCGGAGCGGCCTGCTTTCTCGTGTGCATCCGAGAGAGCGCGAGAGAAAACGGCGGGACCGACCGAGGGAGGCCAGAACGAAAAGTAGTTCGTCTTACAACTCCCCCAATTTCTGGCTCGTTGGTTTTCCAGATTTTGGCACCCCGAGCGAACGCGGCTGGGGAAGCCGTGAAGGAAACGGGGCGTCTTGATGCGGGAGCGGCCGCGGTGTCTTCGGGAGGGGCGGTCACGTGCGGCGCGGAGCGATCCCTTGGCGGAGGGCGGGGGAGAAAGCCGTTAAGGTGCGGCCGGGCCAGGCCAGGTGCGGCGGGGCGCCGGGCCTTTTTCGGCGCGTGGGCTCATTTAAGCGGGGTGGGCGGGGCTAGCGGCCGGCTGCGGCGCGAGCGACGGGCTGCTTCGTGGGGTATGCGGGGTGCTTCCTCGAACGCGGGCGGGCGGGGGGCCCCTGAGCGCGTGCAGAGCGCCGCCCCGCCCCGCCGCATGGGGCTTGGGTAGACAAGTAACGGCCGTAATGGGAAAAGGCGCGCGATCGTCTTAATGCCTATATTGCGTTTCCCTAGCAACAGAGATGATGCTAACATGATGTATAGATCTGGGTAATCTATTAGCAGCTATGTACTATAATCTTTATATCGATTGACTATCCATGTTTAGACATTGCATATGTTTATATTTACCGTATCACGTTGAGGATCGTTTCTTCTAGATACTCTCTGTGTTTATCAGACACACGCACATGCACTTCCCCCATATGCTTGTGATTTTGGTATTTTTTATTATTATTACTGATTGCATTTCTATACCGTCCATAGCCAAAGTGCTCTGTGTGGTTAACAACAGGATGTAAAAACACCTAAAACAGTGTTTAAAACTTTTTAAAATAAAAAATAGCATTAAACACAATTAAAAATAGCATGAAAACACAAAAGATTTGGGCCAGGAAGAAAAAAGGCCCCTGGATAAACCCATCAGGCTAATGCTTATTTTTCTATATGTTACATATGCATTATAGATAGGAAGCTGTATGCATGTGTACCTGTCTATACAACAGACCAAATCTGTTTTTGTAATTCCTGTTTATATGTAGATTGCTTTTTTATGAACTACCTAATACCTATAGTTAATCTGTATGTTTTATGTATTCATATGGTTTCTTTGTGGTCACTCTAATACCATTCATGTAGTACCTGCATCTTTAATTCTCTATAATCTTTCTACATGTTTGTGGTGTGCGCAAAATTCTTGAATATTTTCAGCTATGCTTTCTTTGGTTTTTGTGCTTGGTTTATGTTAACCCACAGTATATTCTTGAGATCCTGAGTGTGGCCGGTATCAAAAATGTTTTGTGCAAATATAATATTGTAGCCTGTTCAGTAGATTTGCATTCTCCATTTTCATTTGGCTGTATGCAAAGTGAAAAACTAAAATTGATCCCATTTGTCGTTTCTAAATTCAGGACACCTTAAAGCAATTCATTGTCCTGAAAAGGCTCATACTTTTTGCTTGGCGCCAACATTATACTGTTTTCAGCATCGGACAAAGCCCTTCTTACTTTCCAGTTATTTTAATGTTTAATTGATTTTAACTGGCATTTTAATATATTAATGGCTGGATGCCATTATTTATTTATTGTAAGCCGTCCTGAGACGTTCTGTAGGGGACGGAATAGAAAAGCTTTTAATAAACAAACTTAAGACTTCTTTTATATTTTTTATTTATTTTATATTGTTAATTTTAATTTTATATTGTTATTTTTGTATTTTATTGTATTTTATTATGTTGTAAGCCGCCCCGAGGCTTCAGCAAGGGGCGGCATAGAAATGTTTTAATTAATAAATAAATAAGTACTAAGTTTGGATGGCTTGAAAAAACAACGAGGAGGAGCTTCTAAATGAGGGGGTGCTTAAAGGAGGAGAAAGAAAAGGTGGGAGGAATTGACAGTAGTTTCCTCCGCCCAAGAGTACTGGAATAAGCTGTGTGTTCATTTTGGGATTAGTGGTGTGCGTTTAGCCCTGTGGTTCTGGGTAGCGGTTCTTGGGCGCATCCTGCACAGAAGTGGGGCTTAGAAGGGATTGTTGGGTCAAGCCATACCTGTGGTCAGGTAGGCAAACATGACTATCCAGCGCTATTCGTATGAAGCTTTCAGGGGGGCAGTCCAGCTGCAAGCATGTGGTTAGGAAGGAAAATAGTCTCAGCGTTTCCCCATCAGGACTAGTTGGGCCACACTGGCAGGATTCGGGCTTCTTGTCTGTCTGAGCACGCATAAGATTCTCCCCAGCCTGTGTAAAACAAGGGTTGTAATCCTTTGGGCTGAGACCAGTGGTAACCCTCAAATTGTTTGTTTTGTTTGTGCAGAGTGATCCACAGCTGCAGCTTGACCCTATTCATCTTTACTCAGAAGTAAGTCTCATTGAATTCAGTGGAGCTTATTCCTAAAAAGCCGTAGCCTTAAACTAGGATTCCGTAAGTCCCACGAGTCATAAAGGGGCTTCCAGTTAAGTATGCCTTGATTTGATTATTACTACAAAAAAGTTCCAATGGATGCAACTTTGAAGGGCTTTTTAGCAGTCTGTAGAATTCCATGAAGGCTGATGAGGTTCTCTAAAGTAAGATTAGTAATTCAGTATGTGTTACAATACCCGTAGGACCTGGATATGGAACTGTACCAAATCTACACAAATGATAAAAGAAATTAATATGCATAACTTAAGAGGTTCTACTGAACATGCAGATGGCTTCTTAATATGTTTGCTCAGTTACTAGCTGATAAATTGTTAAGTAATCTATGAAACCATGTACTTTTAAAATGAAATGGTAGTCTCTTGGGTGTTATAAAGATCAAGTCTTTTAAAAAATAATGTAGAAGATCAGTTATACCCTATTACTGACATCGCACTTTTGATAAACGGATACATGTTTTTTAAAAAAAGCAAACACATCCCACAACCTGGAGTGGGAGAAGAGCGGGCTACTTGAGGCCGAGTTAGAAGTGCTTGTATTTTCTCCTCACGGGATTAAAACCCACAGGTTGTGTCACAGTGAGAGGACTGCTGTAGGAAAATGGGGAAGCGGCTGTTGCACTGCTGGAGCTCTGCGGCATAACCTCAGAAGTTATGTTCTGTTTTGCACATGACGTTGTCTGAGAGCAGCCGCATTCTTTGGCAGTTGCAAACCAGCATCCTGGCACGACCATCTGCAAGGCGAGAACTGGTGCGCATGGGCCCCTTTGTGCCCACCTCACTCTTCTCACCAGGAGGAATAGCCAAGTGGCTCTGCATAGTGAGAATTCAAAGCTCACGGTGGCTTCAAAATGGTGGCTCTTCCCGTGCCTGCCTTACAAACGAGCTGTGACTCCTGAATGAGAGCAAGCGGGGGCTTGCATGAAAAGCCACGAGCCCCCTTTCAGATAATGCATTGTACACCTTAAATTCCTGGATGGGCCCACTCTTGCAGATGGGATGGGACTGGTGCAAGCGCAACTCGCAACCAAAATTCAGTATCCTCATGTCACATGGGAATATGGGCAATGTGTTGTTTGGTCCTTCATCGTTGTGTTTCTTAGCAAATTGGTCTGGTGCTGAGACTTCCCATTTGCTGCTATCCAGTGGTTTGCGTAGAGCTAATGTGAAGCGATTCTGCTTCGTTGAATCCTCTCTTTCCGGGGATAATGTTTCTCTCCAGTGGAATTTGTGATGGATTCTGTTTCATGATCGCAGCTTGTTCTCCTGAGAAGACGATGTCTGGGAGAGCCCGCGCCCGAGCCCGGGGAAGGGCCTATAGCCATGAGATCGCTACACCCGCCATGGGAGCTGCCAGTGTGAGTGTTGACTCTATACCACCATTTTGAACTCTGAAGCAGTCATGCGTATTTCTGTTTGCTTTTGAGCAGGCTTCACTTAAAACTTTTCCAGATGTTTCTTTGGATAGTTGATAAGAATTAACACACCAAAATAATTTAATTAAAACTTTCTGTAATTTTTCTCGTGATTTTTACGCTGTAATTTTTATGCTTAAGATAGAAGGTAGTCGGATGTTTCTGTTTTCCAGTTGTTGGCTTTGATAGGCACTGGTTTTTTTTTTTTCAGTTGAATGGCATTGCCTCTTCAATTCCCATTGACATCAAAGCCTTTACTTCTGTGTCCTGATCATAAACAGGCTGCAGTTCTGTGTGAAACACTTTGGAGTGAGTGCCATTGAACTCACTAAATGTATACGGGCTTAGTCTGCGACTGTCGTAACTAGACAGAGTTTCATTTCAGATGCTCTGCACTGGGTCAGTTGAAATTGAACATCCAATTATGTTTCGGCAGTACATGAGCAGGTGCTGTTCTTCGGCCTCTACAAGCTGTCCCCCTCTATTAACTTTCTGCTAAATCAAAGTGAGAGAGAGGGAGATGACACAAGTACAAGGCTTATCCTGTTAGCACCAGGTCACAGTTAGACATTGTTTGAATTTGGACATGTTTAGAGCTGCGGCTCTGATTTCCAAATGTACAAGCAGAGTATGATTTAAAGCCGCTTTTCTACTTTCATTTTCCATCTTCTTGGTATTCCACTTGTGCTGATTGGAGGAAGCAAGAGCTGTAACTGTGTTGTCAGCACAAGATACCATAGCATGTTATAGTCCGAGCGCCCATTTTAAGGCATAGTGTCAGCCTGTGGTTTGCCAGATAATTGCAAATCCTTTTTGGCAGTTCAGGCCTCACACTAAACAATTGTTCAATATTGTGAACGAGGGCTTGGATAGAAGTGAAAGGTGTCAAGTGCGTGTTCTTCTTAACTTTTCCACCATGTTGTAGGAGTAGCATGCCTTGTAGGCTCCAGAGTTAGGGCAAATATTGGAAGATGTTCCAATATTTGGGCTTAGTCTGCAACTGTAGTAGTATTTTCTATCAAGTGCGAAGAGTATTGCTTAAAATATCTAGTCAAGAGCAGTGATAATGACTGACACTTTTTAGTGCCTGCCTTTTCCAGTCTTTCCTGTCCTGGGGCTTCACATTCCTTGATTTTGTTTAACGTTGTAGGGTCAGCCCCCGGGCTATGGGCAGTCTCGACCTCATAAACCTCATCCAGAGATACCACCAGCAGAAGGAGAGCTGGCTGGGCGTGGGCGGCAGCAAAGGGGGTTTGCCGCACCGAGGTCCCAGGGTAAGTCAGGCAGCAAGCGTGCTCTTCTAAAAGGCGTCGTTATTTAAGCTTTCCCCCAGATCATTACCATTAAGCCAGGGTTTGGATTTGGATAGTTTCTCAAAAGAGAAAGGTTTCCTGACAAAATGTCTATTGTCATCCTGTATTTGCTGAGGTTGTGTAGAAGAAAAAGTTCAGTTCGGAGTCCTCAGTTAATTCAGTGACATAACTGTATTTTGTGTGACTTGATACAACTGAAGGTTGGCATTCTGATACTCCTTAGGCTCATTTGCCTACAGTAGTTAAATAATTTAACTGACTCTGTCAGCACTGTGATTTCTCACTTATCTTACAACATTAAATCGTTGTAAGACTTGCCCTTTTGCTTTAAGTAGCAATGGAAATGGTGGCGGTATTGTAAGACATGCCACTTGAAGTGAAAGAGCTGATCAGTCGGCCAGGATTGCTTTGTTGCTACTCTGGGGTGGCAACCTCGCTTTGGTTTGACTTCAGATTATTGGCAGCACAAGTCATAATTGTTCTTTCCAAATTTCAGAACTTCAGATCTCAGCAGGCTTTCAAGAAATGACACTGGGGGAAAGAGGGGGCCGTCGGAGAGACTATCATGACCTTGGCGTAAATACGCGTCAGTCAATGGAGCACGTTAAAGAATCCAAAATGGGTATGCAGTCTTTAAGAATACGTCAAATATGTAAAACTCTTCAGCTGGTAAATGCGAATGCGGTGTTCCTTTTTGATTTAACAGCTGCCCTGCTTAATTGCTGAGGCAGACTTTGAATTTCCAAGCTGGCAGTGAGGACCTCAGTAGATGGAGGGTGAAGGGGACCAAGGAGAGGATTCAACATTGCTTCTATGTGCTCTGGTGGTCTTCTTAAATTTTACTTCGAGATAATACGAGGAAGCCTCCAACAACATGTCAATTTCTGCTGCTGCCAAGGAAGGCACAGATCCTGTGACTTAGTTCTTGGTGCTGCTAGACTGTTTGCCAGCAATTACTTGGCCTTTCTCAGGTTTTACACCCATTATTAGCTGCTTTTATGTGTGAAACGGTTTAATCCTGATCGTCGCTCGAAAACATTACATTTTTTTATTTGCCAAGTTTTCTCTTTACTGTTTGTTCTTTCTGATCATGGCTGTGATAGGGAAGCTGCCCAAGCTTACCAACAATAAAAGCTGATGAAGAAATAAAGCCCCAGACCCATGTCTTAAAAATGCTAATTACTCTAGCCTTTGAGGGGATGCTCTGAACTCAGTCCCCTCTCTCTTGTACTCGAGCTAAAGCCAGGCCTAATCAGGGAGGCCTTACCTTCCTCCCTCTTTTTCTTGCCCTTATGGACTCCAGTTATGATTAATCTCCAGCTCAGGCACAGGATGATACCGGAGGAATATTGCAACACCAAACAATTCCAAAATGTGGGTCATGTGATCTCTGACTTCCTGGCATTTGGTGACTTAATTCATTATTGTATGGCTGTTCCACTAAACTGGAGAGAACCACCATGGAATGTTCCAGTGATCTGTTTCAGGAGTGTTTCTTTACAAATAACTAGATCCAGTCGGTTGCAAAGCTGTTGAAATGTATCTGTTGTGAAGAAGTGGCCAACAGCACTTGGGTGTGTTTCCTCAGGTGTTTCAGGCACTTTAATAAGGCTGAGTACAAACCATTTTCGGATGACTTCTCGTCCACAATGGGCTTTGTATCAGTATCATGTTGACTACAATCCACAAATGGAAGCCCGGCGTCTTCGTACAGCTTTGCTGTTTCAGCATGAGGACCTGCTTGGAAGAACACACGCCTTCGATGGGACCATTTTGTTCTTGCCCAGAAAACTGGAACACAAGGTAGCATCTTTCAGTTCTGTTGAAACAGGCAGGCATACAGAGTTGGCTACATAGCAATCCTTCCGAATTATCCTTTGCTCTGTGTGTGTGTGTGTGTGTGCGTGCGCGCGCGCGAGAGAGAGAGACTGAGAGAGAGAGAGAGAGAGAGAGAGAGAGAGAGAGTTCAAATCAGCAGAGAAAGACTCTGGACTCTTTGAGATGGGAAAGGTGACAGGTTTGTGGCTGGAGAACTGTAGATTGTTTGCCCTTGAGTGTTGCATCACTCGAAGGGATCAAAGCGATTCCCGTGCTATTTCCCCAGCCTGATATTTTGGACTATAACGCCCAAAAAGACTGCTTTAGAATTGTTCAGTTGCTCAAAGCACATGGCTCTGAGAGTTTAAATGCAACTGCTGTTAATTTTCTCAGGTGACTGAAGTGTTCAGTCAGACCCGGCAGGGGGAGACTGTGAAAATCGCCATTACTCTAACAAACGAGCTGCCGTCCACATCACCGACATGCTTACAGTTCTACAACATCATTTTTAGAAGGTTGGCTTTCCATTCATAGATTTTTGTTGAATAAATACCAATGGGATATTAGCACATAGGAGTCAATATGTATGTGTTCCTTGTATTTAAGAGTCAGGTTTTTTTTTAAGTGCCAAAGTGCCACCAAGTTTATTCTAAAACCTTTCAAGCTCCTGCCATGGAGAAAAGGCGTCTCAGAGTGAGTTGCTCCCCCTCAGCAGGTCAGAGGGATCATCCTTAGCTCTTCCGCTGGAGGAAGCCCCCCTCAGGCTCCATGGCTGCAGCTTGTGCTCAGTCAGTGCTGGTTGATCTTTAAGAGGGCCATTGACATGCTGTGGCTAAAGATCTGGCAATATTCGGAGCAGAGAGCCGTTGAGAAATCCCCTCTGTTCGCGCGTGCGTGTGTGTGTGGGGGGGGGGAGTGGTGGTGAATATCCAGAGCAGTACTGTGGAGCTGCATTGGAATGCATGAGGTGCCTCTCGAGGGTCATTTTGAGGCAAGGAGGTGTGGCCATGTGCCAGGGTCTTTTGTTGCCTGGGAAATCGGGTCTTGTGGCAGTATATGTGGTTTTAGACCACTCTTACTGACCTGCAGCATGGTTCCCTAGTCCAGCCCATCCCAACCTGGCACTCTCCGGCCTTGTTGGACCACAGACCCTGTAATTCCCAGGTGGCATGGCCCTTGACTGAATTGTCTGGAAGTTACGAGAGATGTAGCCCATCCTATCTGGAGGGTGCCCTAGACAGGAGAACAGAGACTTGTAGGGGGAGATCCTTAGCCAAGCCATGGCAGGGCCAGTTTCTCGTCTGGCACACTGTGGATTGGTAACAGCAGGATGACCTGAAACACTCCAGCTTTGCATCTTTTCCAGACTGTTGAAAATAATGAATCTGCAGCAGATTGGACGGAATTATTACAATCCAAATGACCCCATCAACGTCCCTAAGCACAGGTGAGGAAGTGGGGCGGAAGGGCTTTTGGGGAGTCGTGTCTCCTGCACGCTGCTTCTTGCTCCTGCCTGTGCATCCCAGGGAGGCTGTGGTGCTCCTGAGCCAGTGTGTGGAGGCTGCTTTTGGGTGGATGGGGCAGCTTGATCGAGACAAGGTGCAGGTGGTTTGGTTTGGTTTGGTTTGGTTTGGTTTGGTTTGGTTTGGTTTGGTTTGGTTTGGTAAAACAGCTGGTCTTGGACCAGGTAGCCGTTCTGCTTCTGGGTCTATTGGTTTTGGCCTGTAAAGCCTTTGATGGTCTGGGACCAAATTACTTGAACTGTCACCCATTTTCAACTTGCACTTCCCCCTTGCCCACCTTTTCGGGCAGTCAGGTGGCCAGGTATGCAAGATTATGCCTTTTCTGCAGTGGGTTGCCATGGGGCTCCATCAGGCCCCATTGTTGCAGGCTTTTAGGGAGACCCTGAAGTCACTGGTGGAACAAAGTTTGTTTCTCTTGAAGCCTGTTTAGAAAATTCTGGAAATGGTTAATGAATGTGTGTCTTGGGGACTGATGGTGAGGACAGCTGTGCTTTATTCTGTAAGGATTTGGGATTCCAAAAGTAAAACAGTGTTGGCTTATGACCTTAGATAAGTAACTTCTTGGTAACGTAAAAGGGGCAATGTAAAAAAATGTGCATTTGTTCTGGAAGTGAATAGTGAACCCAGTAGGCGTTCTGTTGAGTGATCTAGTAATTGAATTGCAAATGTTGAAAATAACGCTGGTAACTGAAAATGAACCGCTGCTCTCAAAACTTAACTTGGAATGAGGCTGCTTTTAAAATACTGAGGCCGTTTGTGCCATGCGACGCCGCTTTGAATTTGTCGTCTTTCTGTGGCAGGCTGATGATTTGGCCAGGCTTCACAACCTCCATCCTGCAGTATGAAACGAGCATCATGCTGTGCACAGATGTGAGCCACAAAGTTCTCAGGAGCGAAACGGTTCTGGATTTTATGTACTCCATGTACCAGCAAGTGGGAGAGCTGAGGTTCCGGGAGATGTGTGCTAAAGAGCTGATCGGACTGATTGTTCTTACAAGGCAAGGCTTTTGGATAATTTCGTTCTTCTTGGAGCTGACTGAGCCAAAGCGCGTGCAGTTCCTCCTGTCATCTAGGCGGTAGGCAGGCAGGTCCCGTTGGTAAACAGCTGCTTTATTGTGGGTGGCATTCAGTGTTGCAACACCTGGGACCTGTGGCAAAATGTTTGCATGGAATCCTCCATGTTCAAGCTTCCATCCACTCCATTTTCACCCCCCCCCCCCCACTCCCATCAGCATGCTCAGTCTCTGATCGGTACTTTGGAGATCCCTGGATTCCTTTGTGCCAGCACAGTGTTTTGGTGGCTGCCTAAAGATGGCCATGCAGGGAGGGGATGAGTTTGTTTTTATTATATGATACTATGAAACCGTACATAAACGTCCTACCTCTGTATGGTCCTGTTTTTTAAAAAAGCAAACAACTGGTCTGAAGACCTAAGTAAGGAATTCCCTTGAGGGAACAAGGAATTACTGAAATGCAGTCTAACGTTCTCTTCTGGTAAGGCCTAATCAAAGCATGTTCACAAACCTTGCTGCATGAAAATCTCTTCCTTTCAGATAGCTTAATTTTGGGTCCATGTTTAAATTGCACCTTTTGTCTTCTGTGAAAGTCAGGAAATTCCCATTTAGTGTCTCCACTCCAATTTCTGACCAGAGCCAGCCCTGCTGGACCTCAGGAAGGTGACTGCCACCTCGTGTCCTTTTCGACCCAGTTTGAAAGATAAAATACCTTTATCTTGACCTTAATCCTGTTTATGACTCCGTTGCTAAGCTGGCGTTGTCATGCTAACTTGGAATGCTTTTCCTAACATTGCTCATATCCTCCTGTGTCCTGGTTTAGGTTAGTTCTGACCTGGTGAAGGAAGAGATCCACCGATCCTTCCCACTTGCTCAAGAGGCTCAAAATTGGTGGTCCTCTTGCGGAACATCTCCCATTATGCGCCTGCTTAATTCCAAAGGTTTTTTTTCCCTTTCAGAGTTCCATTTCTTTTTAGTCCTCATTTCTCAAAGGAGTTTTAATGTTCTGGCCATTTTTTCTTCAAAAACACATTAAAATTGGTTGGTGGGGAGAGGTTTGCCTCAGCCCAGTGAGGGACCAGAAGACCAGCATTGTAGAAGCAAGAGGCAAAGCACCAGAGGTGCCTCCCTGTTGATATAAAATAAGGTGGTATAGTTTCCCAGTTCCTCAATGTCAGTGGTTAACAAATTAAGATATTGTTAAAATGGAGGCAAGGATAAGAAAATTTTTTAAAATTTGTACAGGTACAACAACAAAACGTACCGGGTCGATGACATTGATTGGGATTCCAATCCTCAAGATTTTTTCAAGAAAGCAGATGGATCTGAAATCAGTTTCGTGGACTATTACAAAATGGTATGAAATAGTATTGAAGTGTGGTGAGCTTCATTTCCTTTAAGTTTATTAAACAGTTTAAGGCAATTGGAAACATACAGCATGGCAAGCAAGATTAGACGGGCTTTTCTTGTTGCACTATTTAAAAATGCATGGGATTATAATTGCCAATGCAATATGGGCTGTGGGCAGATGCTGGTTACCACATCTTTGAGTCAGCAAAGCAGTGTAGCAGAGGCAGGAAAAGCTGAATTGTTTGGGGGGTAATCTGGATATGATTGTGCTTTTTATGTGGACCTAGTAACTTGTTCTGTCTCAGAGGATCAGAGCTGGCTGCAGTGCATTAAAACTGAACAGTGTTGGCTGTGGTATCTGGAGCTTTTTAAATGACTGAATTTCACTTGACTTTTTGGAGGAATCCTAGCACAGCTGCGAGTTACTGCAAGGGACTTGGTTTGGTAGGAAAGAAACAACGATCGACTGGATTTATCCTGAGATGGAAAGGAAGCCTTGTTGTTTTTAATCAATACTCCTCTTTTCAGCAGTGTGGGTTCTAATGCACTTGACATGCCACATCCAATTCCCTACGTTCCAGAGTGCAGCAGCTCTTTCCAGCCTTCCGTAAGGTTGGCAGAGGCGTGGCCCTTGCATTTCTGTAGCATGAAGCAGCTTCTGACTTACTCATCCAAAGCTGTACAGAACAAAAACCAGCGTCTTTTGTGCTTTCAATACAGCAATACAGCCAAGAAATCACTGACTTGAATCAGCCGGTTTTGATCAGTCAGCCCAAGAGGAAGAGAGGCCCAGAAGGTGGCATAATAGGACCGGCAATACTTATACCTGAGCTGTGCTACCTCACAGGTTCAGTATATTGAAAAGGCTTTCACATTCATCCAGTACTGTGTGTCTCGCGGTTGGGTAATGAAACGGCCGTTTGGGGTGGGGAAGCTTGTGAACTTGTGTCAGTTAGCTCATGGGTCAGCGAAGAAGGCTATAGAATGGCTTCTGTTGGGCACTATGCTTGCTTGATAGAAATACGTCTTTCGTATTTGTAGGGCTTACTGACAAGATGCGAAGTGATTTCACTGTGATGAAAGATTTATCTGCCCATACAAGACTGGCACCAGAGCAAAGAATGCGTGAAGTTGGGAGACTCATTGATTACATGAACAAGTATGTTACTGCTCTTCCTGCTGATTGGAAGCTTTTCTTTTTTTTTTAGTAATTAACTAGGCTGCGATCCAGTGGTAGTCTGGAGAATGTTGTTCAGCTTGAACAATGGCCTGAACTGCATTGCCTTGACTTTTGTTTCTGTAATTGAACAGAGATGATAATGTTCAGAAGGAGCTCCGTGACTGGGGTTTAAGCTTTGAATCCAATTTGCTTTCCTTCTCGGGACGAGTTGTTCAGTCAGAAAAGATCCATCAGGCAGGAAAAGTGGTAAGCAAATTGTAATTCACAAAATGCATTTTAAAACAGCGTCCACCTGGCACCATCGTTATTTGTTGCTCGGCGCCAGGTTAAGACCTTTTTATTCCAGCAATATTTTAATAACTTTTAATATTGGTTTAAATGTTTTTAACTGCAGCCAGTGTGGATCTGTAATTCATTTGTGTTATATTATTTTATCTATGTAAGCCGTCCTGAGGCCTTCGCGACAGGACGGCATATAAATATTCTAAATAAATAAATAAAACATGAGCAGAACACATGGCCGAGGAACGGCATGTGACAGCTGTTGTGAGATGCCAGATGCTTACTCCAGAATGTTCCTTTTTTTTTTTTTTTTTTTTTTTTGACAGTTTGACTACAATCCGCTATTTGCGGACTGGTCTAAGGAAACCAGGGGAGCTCCTCTCATTAGTGTAAAGCCGCTGGATAACTGGCTGCTAATATACACCCGCCGAAACTACGACGCTGCTAATACACTAGTGCAGAACCTCTTCAAAGTCACACCGGCAATGGGCATACAAATGAACAAAGCGGTAATGTAAGTATTATAAAGACCATGTTATTATCTAGGTATTACCTTGTTTTCTGAAAGGCTACTAGGCAGGGTAAATCAAGGAAAGTCAAGCACACATGGTACCTGACAAAATTTCCAATGTGTATGCTTCTTTAAAATTATGGCCATGTTTAGGAAATTGCATCCTTATTGCCATCTGAGTGGCTATTATTTGGCTTATTATCTCAACATGGAATACTTTACCGTCTCTTTGGGATTAAGAGATATGCACCGTTAAGCGATTTATGCGCTCCTGTATGACTTGGTTCTTGAGTTCCTTCAGTTGGAACGAGAATAAATGTGAAATAGAAAACTTTGGCCTTTCTTCTATAGGCTTGAAGTAGAGGACAGAACTGAAGCTTATCTGAGAACCTTGAAGCAAAAAGTTGTTTCAGATACACAGATGGTACGTACTGAGATTTCCGGAATGTATCATTCAGACCCTTGGTGCCATGATCATAGCTTCTCTACTCCATGCTAGGGGAACGTGAGTTTCATTCCCTGTATTAAAAAATGTGCATGATACACAGTTCTGTTTTTAAAAGTCCCCAGAAAATGCCCTGGGAAATGGGCTAAAAGGTCTCTTGGACTTTGCTGTCCAGATTAAGAGTGGGGTACTGGGTCCCACTCATACAGTGCTACTGCCCCAGAGTTCGTCATGTGCCCCAGACCCAAGTACGGGCAAGCAAAATGCTTTACTGCCCAGTGAGCCCAAGGTAAGGGGGAGGCTTGCTCGTGCAGTGTTTTCCAAAGTAACCATGGTGCGTTCAGGCCTTCTCTTTCTTTCTTTCCCAAGGTGGTCTGCCTCCTGTCCAGCAACCGGAAAGACAAGTACGATGCAATCAAGAAGTACCTGTGCACAGACTGCCCCACCCCGAGCCAGTGTGTGCTCGCGCGCACGCTCAGCAAGCCCCAGACAGTGATGGCCATAGCCACAAAAATCGCTCTGCAGATGAACTGCAAGATGGGTGGGGAGCTCTGGAGCGTTGAGATACCAGTAAGGGATTTTTCGCACACCCCTGCAGAAGTACTTTTTTCTTACGTTTGGCTGGGTAGGATTGCCAAATACGCTGCGTAAATATCGAGCACGAAGGAGTTATGACATCTTATTCTTAGCAGAGCTGTGTAGTTTACAAGAACAAAATCGGGTTGAACAGTTTAGGAGTAATCGACGGCAGTCAGCCTTGTTTGAGCTTGTGTGCCGAACTCAGCCTTGCAGTCTTAAAGCCATGGCTGGCGTGGTCGTTCCTGTGTGGCTGTGCGGGCACAGGGAGGGGGTCCGAGGCCTAGCCTTGGCCTGGGAGCAGGTGGCCAAGGGTGGAGCTGGCCAGCTAGACGGACTAAGGGCCCATAGATTTGTGTTCTGACTGACTGAAGCAGAAGGTGACTTCTGAGTGCAAGAGCTGCCTTTATAAATCTGCGGGGGACTTGTGTGCTGCCTGCATGTTTGGAGGTTGCAGCTCACGCTCTCTCTCTCTCATGCAATCCAGTTGAAACAGCTCATGGTTGTGGGAATCGACTGCTATCATGACACCACTGCTGGCCGTCGGTCAATAGCGGGATTTGTTGCTAGCTTGAATCAGGGGATGACACGGTAAGATCGTCTTGACTTTTTAAACCGTTCATGTACGTGTTGCTTCTGTGGATGTTCCTTGGCACGGCAGTTGATGCCGCCCTTCTCGCCTTTCGCTTGTCTTCGTTAGTGGGCCTGCAGCGCTGTGCCCGCACTGCCACGCAGACCTCCTCATTCTCACTTGCCGTGGAGGACATCTGCAGGCTGATACAGTTTTCTTTCTCTCCATAGCTGGTATTCACGCTGCGTGCTTCAGGATCGGGGGCAAGAGCTTGTGGATGGACTCAAAGTGTGCTTGCAAGGTAAGCCGGGTGTGTCTCGCACCAGCTTGCGTGTGTGGGGTGTTCTCTTTAAAGTTTGGTGTCACCGCTGCTCTTGCTCGGTCCCAAGGGCAGCGTTGATAGTGAACTAGGCCTTCTAGTCGGCTTATTGTTTTATGCAGACTTTGCCACCGATTTATTCCTGGCTGCTGGATCCTGCTCAGTTTATTTATTTAGTTATTTATGGGGGGGGCAGAATCCCACAGTTAGTGTGTTTAGTGTTTCAGCTGAGAAAATGAAACTTTTGTACATAGCGCAGATTGCTGTGCAGGAGGCTGAGGGGAGATGAGTTTGGCTAGAAATGTTTGCTTAATGGAGAGTCATGATAGCAGGTTGTTCATGGTGAATCTGCATCGCTGCTAAAAGTTCAGGTGTTTTCTACCAGAAAAGTGTTCATGGTGAATGGCAAACATGGGAATCTTTTTATTGGAAGTTGCATTGGATTTTGAAGGTGGGTCTGATGTGTCTGTGGAACCGGTTTGACCTTAATTAGTCCGCTTTCAAAACGCAAGAGAATAAGGATACAAATAAAGTCCGGAACTGATAGCCAGGAGTAGCAGTTGTGAGCAAGGGCATTCTTTGAAGAGAACTCTCTCATACACAGAAAGTTTACACTTGAGTACTATTAAATTGGTGTTTTCTCTCAAAGCTGCATTAAGGACTTGGTATACCCACAACAACCACATGCCCTCTCGAATTATTGTCTATCGAGATGGTGTTGGAGATGGTCAGCTGAAAACCTTGGTTAGCTATGAAGTTCCTCAGATCTTGGAGTGCCTGAAAACAGTTGGGAAAGACTACTGGTAAGTTAGCAATCTGATGATGCAGGAAGTAAATGGCATGGAATGACTCCATGAAAGGCCGCTCCTTTAGGTCGACTTATTCCAGGTAAAGTCTCACTGATCTACTTCTCATTGGCTAAAGCAGCATGCCAGTCTTGGAATGCTAGAGAAAGCAGTGGGGCATCAAAGCTTGAAAGCTCCTGGCTCATTGATAACTCACTGTTAAGGAGACTTTGATTTGGAGGCTGCAGCCATATAGAGCGCAGTAGCCTTTGGGAGAATTGCCGTTGCCTGATTTTCTGGGCCAGACATGATGCCGATACTGAACCTGTTAAAAGCCTGAGTGGCAGGAACCACTCGAAATACTCAGCTGGTGAGTATTTTGAGCTTATATCTTCTCCGCATGTTGCAGGGATTTTTTTGTAAATGCTTTATTTAAAGAGCTGAAACAAAGCATATTAAGTTGCTGTTTCATATTTACTTATTTCACATTGTCAAGCCTTTGGTGAAGCAAGGCTGTTTCGGTTGCAGTCGGCTGACAATTGAATATCTTTGCATAACTTGGTTGAGTTACATTCGTTCGGTTTTTATTTGTATGCTTTCTTTGAACGCAGCCTGATTCTTCAAGAATAACAGAGGCTATTCGCATCAGCAAAAACACTTCTCTTGCTTGTACTTTCCATCTTGTTGGAATATGCATGCCAAAATCTTGTCTGTTTTAGTAATATAACTCTAATGTGATCTTTTCAAGCCCTAAACTAACAGTGATTGTGGTAAAGAAGCGTGTGAACAACAGATTCTTTGCTCAGATTGATGGAAGACTTCAGAATCCGCCACCTGGCACAGTTATTGATGTAGAAGTGACCAGACCAGAGTGGTAAGTTAATACCAAAAACACATCTCTTTTCAGTGGAAGAATTTTGGCTTGTGCATATTAAGGGGTTGAATTGGCGCTATAGTCTGCATGTTGTCTGAGCATCAAAAAGCATTGTTTACATCAACTATTTTAACAGCAGCACATGTCCACCCGGTTTCTCTTCCACTCTGCTCCTGGGTTGTGAGGCTCTGGGCTGGCATCATCATCCACGAGCCTTTTTCCTTTCGTACCTTGTCCATCTTGCTTCTGTCTGACCAGGGTGGTTCCGGGGTTGGACTCTTAGTTGCTGCTGTTTGCCCTTGAGGAGAGGTTTGAAGCTGTGGAACCGGAGCAGCAACTGAGCTCCCAGGCCATGCAAGGAAGGAGGAAAGAACTCACAAACAATGAGCACTGCTTTTTTGGAAGCTAATGTTTGCGGTGATGGAGGGAAATGGTGTAGGCAGCCTGTTGAACAGGATGGCTGGGCCAGTGCTGAAGTGGATGAGGTGTAGATAGCTTTACAGCGCCAACTCTGCTGCACACTTGACAAAATAGGGGACCTTTCATCATGCTCGAGGGTGGATCCCCTCACCTGAGGATATGGGAGTGGATTAGGCGATTTGTGGTCTAATGTAAAGACCTTTGGGAAGCCGCCCTGGGCTGATGTGTCTCAGCTCTGTTGTATGGCTGCAAAACGTGTCAACGCAGTACTTGGATCTCTTAGGCCGAGGCAAGAAAAGGTTTGGCGATGGATCATTTGGAGTACTTTGCTCAGTTTAGCACTGGGGAAATTGCATTTCAACAAATCCAGAGGACAACCAGAACAACTGGGGAAATTACCTTATGAGCTCCGCTCTTTCGATTTCCAGTGTGGTTGGACCTACACTGTTGGCTTAAGCAGTGGTATGGAATCAGATGCTCCCAGACCATTCAGTGTTTGGACTAGGTGAAAATCTGGCTATCCAGGCCATCATGCACTGAGGATAAAGCTGTCTGTAAAACAACAATACATCAGTAAAAACCATTAAAACAACATGAAAATTAGCTTATAAAGGATGCTTCTGATAGGAAGTCTGGGGGGCGGGGGCAGTGCAGAGGCTCTAGCTTGTCCAGCTTAGCTTGTCCTCCCCCATAGGTACGATTTCTTCATTGTGAGCCAGTCGGTGAAAAGTGGCACAGTCTCACCAACCCACTACAACGTCATCTATGACAGCAGTTCACTGAAGCCGGACTACATGCAGCGGCTAACATACAAACTCTGTCATATGTATTACAACTGGCCGGTAAGTGCTTGTGGCCCTCCATATTCATAGGGGTTGGGGCACAGGGCCCCCCTGGAAGTGGGAAAAGCATGACTGCCTCTAGGCCCTCCCCAAGGCTTAACTCCTAATTCTGTTGACCATAAGTATACTGGACTGCCTCTCTCTCTCGCTCTCCCTCCCGCTGATTGGGTTTGAAAGTCTGGCTTGAGAGGCTTTCAGTTCTGAATGGGGGTGACCCCAAAGGACCTTATAAACTTTTACTGACATTCCAAGGCACGGACTTAAAGAAAACCTGGTTCCAGAGTTGGATGCAACATAAGGAATCAGAAATACGTCTAGCTCTCTGGATTCTAGCAATTCCTTCGATTGGATCCCCTTCCATGGGTGACGTAGCAGCGGAAATGGTGCTAGATAGGTTTCTATTGAGAGGGTGACTGAATGTGCCCATGACCCAGTTTGCATGTATAACGACAATTTGTGGGCTGATCAATTCATTGTTTGTTGTGGCACAGGCCAGATGCGTTTTACGGCCATTTTGTACATTGAACCTTTGAGCTCGAGGCTGTTATGTGGCATCATCCTTGTTCCACAAGAGCATGGAAACCCCAGAACGGATCTGCTTCGTGTGACCGAATCAGCTTGATGCACATTCCTTAATAGGATAATTTTAAGAACAGCCACGAACAAGCTGGCACATGACATATTCTTCTCCCTAGGGAGTCATCCGAGTGCCTGCACCTTGCCAGTATGCCCATAAACTGGCTTTCCTTGTGGGACAAAGCATTCACAGAGAGCCAAACTTGTCCCTCTCCGAGAATCTCTACTACCTGTGACTCCACAGCAGAGGATGACATGCAGAGTGGGACGAAGCTTAAACCCTGAAATGTCTTTCTGTCTTTGAGGTATCAACTTAAATTCTATACTTTGGCTTCATTATGTTAATTCTGTTTCACTTACCAGATATTATAATGTCACTGTATTTCTTGTGACTTCGTTACGAGCCAGGTTAATTTTAATTCTGTTGGCAAAGACAAATTGCGTTTTTGAACACTGGATTCTGGTTCCTGCTTGAGAATAAAATGGTTTATCATTTGTTTCAATTTTTTATGTAGAATTTTTTTGAATAATTCTATTTAAAATTTTCATCCATAGTAATGAGAAAATAAGCAAAATGTTTTGCCTATTATTAAGTCTACTTTTCTATTAAGGGATACCCTATCTACTGCAGAAAGTGAAGTTCTGGAAATATTTTTTTCCCCTCTCAAAGGCAATTCTCTATATATTCTGGTGCATTCAAATGGACTAATGTGAGTTTGCTTCTACTGCCTAAATTGTGAATTCAGAGGCAAAGACAAGCCCTTCTACAAAATATCAAATTTATTTATATAAAATATTTTACACATGAACAACTGTACACATGCACACGCCCACACAATACTTTACCACAAATTTAGGCCAGTATTTTTCTTTAATTCATAAATCTAGCACGCTAGATTATTTTACAGGAATTTACATTATATTTTTTGAAGACACAATGGGGAAAAGCTTTGATCATTCATATTATAAACCTTCCATCAATTACAAAAGAAAGGCAGTCTGAAAAGTATGTATAAACAGTAAAAAGAATTTACAAATGGACAAGTTACAAAAGAGTAACAGCCAAATATGTCTGCCAGCAACTTCATAGTTTTCGTTAAGATTTTTTCCCAAACAACAGTGCCAATAACAGGACATACTATGTGGCAAGCTGAGCAGTTGCTTTTTAGTGATTTCTCGCTGGCAATGGCCAGTGAATAATGCAGCTTTCTCATTGTAGTACTTCCTCACACTTTTGTCTAGCATACTTTGAGATCAACAGTACAAAAATGGTGTCCAGCTGGAATCTGCATTTCACAGTACAGTCTCTGGCAGTTGGAGTACCAAATCTTTTTACCAGTGCCAGAACCTACACAAATATTTATTAAATGGCTTGAAGGTGTGCATTTTCTGGATAACTTTATTCAATAATCTGGCTTTTAATGTACTTGAGAGGTTGACTAGCAGAACTCATACAGATGTTTAAAAATGCATCTTTGCACAACACTTTCAGACTCCCAAGAATTACAGCAGACGTGGAACGGAGTCAGTAACACCAATTACTTGATCTTTTAAGTTACCAATGTCTCAGTGAGGATGGAAAGACAGTTGAATACACAGTACATACGAAGTATACGCTGTATAGTTTAGACAGTACAAATCATTGTGCATTAATAAGGCAAACATCAAGGCGGAATAAACTAGGAGTTTCAAGACCATGTGTGTGTCAAGTTGTGGGTAGATGATTAGAAGAGGGATCAAAGAACAAGTTTCTTTCTCCACTTTAAGGGAGGGAAATGTACCAAAATGTATTGAAAGGTATTAGCAGGAAGAGTTGCTTTGTCACCAGAGGGTTGGTTCTTTTGATGGTCCTTAATCCCTCCAATTTTATCTTTTTGAAAATGCACATTGGTAACTGCTTTTAGTAGCAATGCCATGTACATCCCCCCCTCCTTGCCATCGGATTAAATTACTGAAAGACCAAACAGAAGTCGCTGCTGATGTCGGAATGCACTAAGTAGTAGCTATGTTCTCTATAGAAAGATGTTCAGAATAGTCATGAAAGCCCTAGTTAGTGAAGTTTTTGTAATTTTTCTTTGTAAAAAAAAATACATAGATCTGAAGCTTTACAGGTTGTCCAGAAGAACACGAAATCATTTCACTGCACCAAGCCTTTTCAGGAGCTTCTTCCCCTTGGATAGCAGCCCCTTTTTCTTTTTCGAGGGTAATTCCCTGCCTCTCCCAGGACTACCAGAACCCACAGATGACGGAGGTGACCCCGAATGGAGATGGACTGTGGGGGATGGTGCTCTCCTTGGTGAGGTACCTGTATTCTGAGGAGGAACCTAGTAGGTACATTGTGACAGTTTACTGAATGTTTGAAAGCCATCAACAACAAGAAAGTTGGTAACATTTGCTTCATTACCCACTTTTTTCATTTTTGGACAATCCATTTTTCCCTTAAAGTATGCCACACAACAGATTTGTTTACTTTACCAAAGTAAGTTAGAAACAGCATATACAGCTGAAGCGGTTTGGATTTTGTTTTAAATTAAAACTGTTCATTGGAATCAATGTCCCAGAACTGGATTTGCAAGTCTCAGATTGCTTTTCGCATTTCAGTACTCTAGTGCTGGCCCCGAAGTTATGAGAAATCGGGCTAAGTACTACAAATGGCAAGTTCTACATACACCAGCCAGTTTCCAGAAGGAAGCGCCAATTATGAAGATAATAAAATTGGAGTGTTTTAGTTCTTGAGTTCCATTAAATGTTTGGTTCCTTTTAGCATACTGTATATACATATTTTGAGAGAAGATGGCACACTGGTTGGAAGAAAAAAGCTAAAATGAACCTTAATTTTAATCAAAGAAAGCTTCAAGACCTTTGATACGTGTGGCAACATGTTTCACTACAGACATACGTGGAATATGATTGCTTGTACAACGAACAGTACAACAAGTACTTCATTGTAGAAAGTGCAAGATGCAGACACATGAAAGCCATTTTAAAAGTGAAAAGTATAGTGAGCCCTAGCACGGTGCTTTCTTAATACTAATAGTTGGACATTTATTTTAGCAGCTATGATACTTCGATAGTTACTGCCATGGCCAGATCAGGCCATTTCGATAATGAAGTTAAAGCAAAGGGGTCGCAAGCTTACTTTGATCTCAAATCAAGGTCTTTGTCTAATGAAGAAAACAAAAGAAAAAAGAGCCACTTTGTAGAAGCACCCCCAACGTACACCTGAAGATACCATGTACTGAGCTCTAATGCATTCATGGGATTTGAGCTGCATGGTTTTTGTATCAACTGTTATTGCATTGATAAACCAAAGAGTTGCTGAGTGTTTTCAAACACTGGTGTTGATCTGTGGTTCTTTTAACTTTGCGTGTTTTGAATGGAGGACGAGGGTGTAGACCTTGCCAAAGGCAAATCTGGCTTTCCACTGACCAGGAGAGAGACTTTTTAAGGCAAACAATTTAAGCAGATATATGAGGTTAATGCGTTTTCAGAAACGGCTATATCCATTTTCTCAACTATCATACTTATCTGCTTACAATGTTATGCTTCTTCAAGGGTGGGTCTGCTTTGTACTCTCCCTCCACCCCCTAAAAAAAAACTGAGGTCAAGTTTTCTTCCCAGATTGGCCAACAATGCAATATGCAGCTTCTCTTTGGAGTTTGACACTAGGTACACTTTTTAATGCAAACAAACATTGAGTCTGGTAAGAAATATGTTCCAAATGTTAAACTCTTTTTTTACGAACATGCCCTGAAGGAGGAAGAATCCCAGAAGACAAAACTCAATTCTATTAACATGGTATGATTACGTAGTACCCTAGAAGTTGATTTTTTAAAAAAGTACAAGGCAAGTCTGCAACCAAGCAGGGCTAATAGGTTTGGAGACATATTTCTCTTGTCGCACATTTAGGTGCCAAGATGGCTTGCATTAGATAATGCCAGCTAGCTTGAATTGGTATCTCTCGGTATCTTCAGTTGCTCACTTACGTGAAGGCTACACTGCCTTTTTTTAAGGTGTGAAATGAACACTCTTCTTCTGTTCCCAAGCAGATGAGCAAAGAAACAAAAATATACATAAAATAGAATATATAAAAACTGCAGTGATGAGAGAAGACAAGTGAGATACTACACATGAACTACTTTCTGGGGAGGTGGACATCCTTGTGGGGCGCTTGCTGGCAGCCAAAGAAAGCCTGGAGGGGTTTATGTTGAAGGGCTTCCTTATCATACCTACAGGACTTCCCCTATTTTCTGTGTTGTATTTACATCCCTTGCATACCTACATTCTGGAGGCATAAACTGATGTGCAAAGTAGATAGCGCTTGTGATGCTACACTTGCAATGAACCAATCAGCCTAAAGGTTCATAATGCTAAATGCTCGTTATACTGTACATGCTAGTGGAAGAAGTCATTTTGTTTTTATTGACCTTTTTCCAGCATAGCCTAAAAAATGATTTTAAAAATGTAAAAAAACAAACTAATAAACTGAATCTGCAATGATGTATGGGAGAAGACCAAACAGGACAATGGCTTTTTCTCAATGCTTGCTTACCCTTTTTGCTTTTGTACGTATTGGTGTATCTTGAGCATATCGTGATGGGGCATCCGATAAATACACTTCGACATCATCAGGCACTTCTTCAAGAAAATTTGAAGGAACCAAGCCCTTCTGACCAATAAGCTCACCCTGGAATGGAAGGGGAGAAAAAGCAACAGCTAAGAATTCTGGTTTTCAAAGCAGTACTGGCCTGAGTTACTGCTACTTTCTTAACACGGGACCGTAGCAAGTCACCTGCAACAGGTCTACATGAAAAGGCAGAAGATTGCAGGCAGTTGTGCTGGATCAGTGGTTTTCAACCTTCCCACAGCTGGGGAGCGGCAAAAACTGGAAAACCACCTCAAGGACTGCTGAGGAGGAAACAAAAAGCACCATACACACAATACAGTATTCTGTGTATTAGTTTCCAAACATAATACCAAAAAAAAAATCTCTGAAACAACCAGAAACCAAGCAACAAAAATGCCAACCAAAGAACAAAATACCAAATCAGTGCAGCATGGCTCCAGCCAGCTCCTATCGAGCTATCTCTCCCCTCTCTGTTCCCCCCTGGCAGCGCTGGTCCCCCACCAATGTGATGCCAACTGAGGAAGAGGGCGGAGCACAGCCAGCCCCCTCGCTGGTCTGCAGCAAGCGGGATACACACCCCTGACCAGTAGGAGACCTCCCATGGGCTGACACCAGTCCACGGATCAGTGGTTGAAAACCACTGTGCTAGATGATAAAATTCGTATTCCTTGGCTTGGTACCCAAGTACTTCAAGACTGTGTTTTCCCTTGAGAGCTCAGTTCAATGCCCAAACCTGTCATCCACAGGTCCCTAAAGTGTCTTGGATGTCTACTAGAAGTGGCGCTTTTTTCACAGTGGTCCCGGCCTTGTGTGCTTCCCTCCAGATTGAGAAGATTTTCCCCTTCCTGTGTCAAGTGAAAAACTGTTTCTGGGACATGCATGAGGCTTAACCAGTTCAGCAAATTTGCTTCCATGTTGTTCGGCAGCTGTTTCCATTTTGCCTTAGGAATCCGAGCTAGAGTGGAAACATTTTGCTGCAGTGTTCACTTGTTGGTTCTGGAAATGGGTCTTTGGTTTTGAAAGTGGCAGTTCCAAGTGAGGAAGTCAGCACAGCCTATTCTTATGCATGTGAGCACTAGGAAGAATATAAAATATGGCGCCTGGCCTACAGTACCCTCTAGTGTTCTCAGTTGGACAGGGACACTGTAAGAAACTGCTAAATTGTTAGTAGTAATTAAGCTGCTTCCCCAAAACAGAAAAAGACCTGCATACACACATACTCTGCATACCGCAGTTGGAACAGATGGAGGCAAGAAATAAAGCACTTACATAATAAAACCCGTCTTCATCGATTTCTCCAACAACAGTAATAATGTCTCCTGTACAAAATGTTAACTCAGCCTATAGAGAGAGCAAAGGACAACACCATAAACTTCTTTGGATTCTGCAAAATAGTTTTCAAATTTCGGCCCATCCTGATGAATAAGAACAGACACATGACTGCCCTAGCATTTGGATTTATTTTGGGTTGGATGAGCCCATACTTCCTGCGTGGTGGGGAAGAGAGAAAAGTGGTGCACAATACCAGACACTTGGTATGATCCAGCATGGGTCATCCTATCTGCTTGGGCACAAGATGACATGTCCCATACCCTAAATCTGGGATGCACAATCTGTAGCCTAGAGGCCTCCCATGGAGCCTTCAATAGGTCTACCCTTCTTTCACCATCCCTCCCATAACCCTAGTCCTGATCACTCATTTGTGCCCGATACCAATGAGAAAAGCACAGTCTGTATCCAGATGGTTGAGAAAAAGGGTGGATCTTGAGAAAGGCCCTTCGTTACTTGAAAGGGTGACGTGTATCAGAGTAGGCCCCAACTCCCTAACAAGCATCGTATGGAGCTTCTGGAGCCAAAAATGTGTACCCCTGCCTTAAATGGATGCAATTCCCCCATTATTCACAGTTCTGGGGATAAAGAAGTGGCTCCCCTCGTTTCAGTGAATACCTCCACATCAACATTAGGAGAACTCTCCCTTGGATCGTAGTCATATAACGCCACCATTCTCCTCGTTGGTGCTGCAGGTTGATGGCTGGTCCTTCGGTTCCTTTCTGTTCCAACCAAAAGGAAGAAAAGCTATCACAGTTACTTTTAAATGCATGTTAACAGTGCAGTTTCTCTGTACAAAGGAAGCTATCAACTCAAGACCTTTCTTGATCCAAAACTGGACAACAGACCAATTAATTTTGTTCTGGTTTTGCAAAGCAAACAAGAAATGCAGACCTTCTTCAGTACAGATCCTAACTCTAAAGTTGATCTTGTCTTTTTATGGAATTAGTCAGGCTGTAAGTTAAGTTCTATCCAAAATTGCCATCTAATAGACATTTCTGCATTCAAACAGTCTTTCTGATTAATTGACCACTAGCCTGTAAGTGACAGTACAGGATGTGGGGATGCCACCTCAGGTGTGCACAGAATCCAGTGCATTCTTAGGCACCGTGCAGTCGGCTGCAAAACCAGCCCTACTAAGGATGACCACCCAACACAGTGTCACTCAGCAATGTACAACGCTTGCTTATAGCTTCCAGGAGCCAGAAAGAATCGCGCATAGTTCTTGGGTGTGCTAGTGGAGCGAAGCTATAAACCAAAGGTAAAAAAACACAATTGATATTACATAGAGAGGTGGGAAGAAGGAAAGAGAAAGAGATGATGATGGATGGACAGACGGACAATTCTGTCTGAAGATTATGCTGCATTTTGCGCTGCTAGGAAAAAAAGATGCTTTCAACACCTTTATGCGTTTCTCTACAGTTACAGAAATCGTATTTATATAGACAATATGCACATTTTCTCAATCAGCGAAGAAAGCAAGTGTGGTTTGAGCAATTACCACTTGGGGAAAGTCACGGCCAGCCATGTTTAGACATCGGTGTCAAACATTTCACAAGGAAAGTTTCACAATTATCTTTGGCTTCCAAGTCACTGGAATGCACGGTGGTTCTTGCAGCTGGCTAGTTTGTCAAGAGAAACCATGCATGTTAACTGTCATCATCTCATGGTGGATGTTTGGGGCAGAGTCAATGAAGAACATTGTGAAGCTGATGTAGGAAACTCACAATAAAAGATTCTGGCTTTGATGGACCAGGAATGAAAATGGCTTCGGAAGCTACAGTCTCATCATGGAACAAGTGTTGGGCCTACAGATCATTCCGCACCCCACCCCCCCGCCTTCGAACCAAATCAGAACTGAAACAATATTTCAGTTGATCTAATCTGATTTTAGCACTCATGGAGAGAATTCACCAGTCTTTGGTGTACAAAGATGCAGGGGAAAGAGAGTGGAGGTTGGAAATGAAGGGCAAGATTTACAAGGAATAAATATCCTCATCAAATCCTGCACTGTTCCTTATCTGGAACAACAATCTGCCTTGAAGACATAGGCTGGAAGAATGAAACAAGTTCCATGAGACCACAAGTGCTTCAGACTTGTGCCCTTTTTGTTCAATAGCCCCTGACACCACAAAACTACAGGAGACAGTATGGGATCAACCTGTCAGATGTCAAGATGCAAGTCAGATACTTTGAGCTTTTTCCCACCATCATTCTCAGGGCTTTGTGCATTCCAAATATCCAAGTCTGGAAAGCACTCGTTTTGGATTTGGTCGGGCTCAGTGTTCTGAGAATCTTAGTTTTTAAAGTGTCGCCTCCTTATGGTTGTGGACCTAATTGGTGCCTGGTAAAATTTAGAAGCCCATGCACACACAAATTCAGCATTGGTCCAGGCTGGGCGGGAGCTTTAGTGCCATTGTCTGGGCTACCGGCATCTTCTTGGCCTGCAGAAACAGAATTCCCTAGGCAGTGGTATTCAAACTTTCTGATCTCAGGGAGACCTTTCTACATGGACTGGTCTTACAAAGAACCCCTGAGCATCTTCATGAGCAGCTCTGTACTGCTGAATGAGTGTGCACCTGAACCCAGATCCGTACCTTAAGTCTGACCATCTGGAGTCTAGGGTTTTCCAGCTTCTCCCCCCCCCCCATCAAGACTGCCAATAATTTGGTGGTTTTCCACTGGTTCTATGTGTTTCCCTTCTCCATTCAAAAAAGCAGAAGTGCCTTTGTTACTGGCAGTAAATGCTCTGAGCTGAACACTGCAAGTGTTTGGTCCTGTCCCCTTTTTCCTTTGACCTTTAAATTCTGTTGGTTTGTGCTCATGAAACTGGGATTTGAAATCTTGCTAGATTTGTGTAAGTTGCACTCACAACAATTTTATTGCTTGTCTTTTATTTTACTTGTGATAACCTGAAATTGCAGGCAATAAACAGATGTGTACAGTTCTAACCTGTATCTAGTCAGGGATTCCAACATGAAACTCCAAAACCAGCTGTCGGAGCTGCCCTATGATGCTCTCATTTTACAGGTGACCAACAACAGGGCTGGGATGTCAGCAGCAAGCACCACATCGGCCCATTCCCCCCCTAAATCCATACTGCCTGCAGGTGGTGAACCACTGGGAGTCAGAAAGTCTTGCCAACCTACTACGGTAACCTTCCAGGAGCTCTACCAGGAGATCCCATCTGCCATCCGAGCAGCATTGCGCTCTAGTGGCCTCACCTCCCACCTTCCTGGACTGAAGGAGATCCATTGCAGCAAGCAAGCTGCTTCCCAAGGAAGCTTGCTTGGCATGACTGACTGAGCAAGGGTGAGGACCTTGTGGTCCACCCTTCAGATGCTTTGGCCCAAACCTCCCACCAGTCATAGTCATGAAAACTAGCGATGAGGGAGTTCATCCAGGACATCTGTAGGATCACAAGTGGGTCCCCTCTGTTCCTGAAGAACCCCGATCAGATTCTAAGGGGTCCTAGAGCTCTGCACAGAGAACTTTGAAAACCACTGTCCTGTGCTAATCAACCAAACATTGGTATAATAGCATTGCCCTGGGTGGTGATGGAGAGATTCTGCCCCGGCTGCCATCGGCTGCCAGTATCTGATCCAGTGCACAAACGGTGTATCCAACAGGACAGCTCAAAGCACTTTGCTTCTTCAATGGCTTGGAGCAGGCAGGTGGGTTGGGGGTTCATTTCTCATTTTATTCTTTAAGCACAGACCTCTTTCAGACTTTCTGGATCTGCGGTGTACAGAGCGTGCGTTCTCTTTGAAACGGTTGCAGTTGACTTCAGAAAAGGAGCACAAAGAAACAAGAAGAGGAGAAGGTGTGAAGCTGTTCCACAAGTCTTACTTTGCTTTCTTTCTTGTTCTTTTAGAAGGTGGACTAGGCAACAGACAGAAGCATAGCACCGCAACTGTTTGAAGTACATTCATTTTAGTAATTCTGCGGGATGTGACTGATTTTATCACAGAGCAGGGCTGCCGTGATCCCATCCCCTGTGGCAGATGTGACTCAGAACCCTGCATGGATCATGAAAAGCCTGAGCAGCTGCCTGACAGGAATGGACAGTTTGGTTGCAGCTCAGTTTTGATAAGAATTTACTAAAATTAGAACTTTTTTCATAGGACAGAAAAAAAAAACCCATGTAAAATCATCAAATGCAGGGGAAAGCGAAACCGTCAGATTTATTCAGCTAGGCTCAAAGTTTTTGAGAGTTTAATTCTGTAAAGCCTGACTTTAAATCTGTGATTTAGCCACATTTGGGATGCTGAATTGGGGTTCCCCTCTCATTCTCTGATGAGCTCTTCATGTTTAGCGACTCCATGGGAGGGCAGGTTGACATAACCTTGTCCTCTCCATGTTGGAGAGTCAATTTGGCTGATGCAGACGGACGGAAATTTAATTTCAGTTTGGTTTTTACCTTTTAAAAAAATTTCCTCAGATTTGCACACTTCTTTCTATCTGGGGCAGAACAAACTTGAGATTTAAAAACTGGATGCAGAACAAATAACTAGTAGATTCATCCATTTTTGCTTCAGGACTAGGGCGGAGGGGGGGCTGTGAACCTGACAAAGTCCCCCCCTTCCCACCCCATCTGAAGCTGCTTTTAAGTGTCAAAGGAAACTGCTGCTGGTTCCAGAGGAACTTCCCCTTGACCAGCGACCAGCAGCCCTCCCTGCAGCTGCCGTTCAACAAGAAGTGTGCACGTGAACTGCATCCATGCGACTGGTGTCAGGTTCGGTTTGGCCCTCTCTGATTGGCCATCTGTGACTGTTGCATCCCTAAAGGGGAATGCAAGTTCTCTTTCCCACATGGCTGCAACCTCTCTGTCAGACTGTGGTGCCATTTGGGACATGGCTGGAGAGCTGCGCCAGGCTCTCCTGGGGCGAAGTGGGCACCTGTGCATTGGAATGTGCCGTACATACTGGCCGCACTTCTACAAAGTCAACTTCTTCTGAATGAATGAATGAACAAGAAATGGGAAAACTTGAAAGGAATTGGTAGCGGGAAGAATTATTTCCAGTTTCGCTTCTGTTGTTTCATTCTGTTTATATTGTAATCAAGTTACAGACGGGGGTTGTGTCCTGCTTGCAAGGAGACCCATGGTTGCATGGAGACGCATCATGCTGCTATTGCAAGGACAGCCCAAATGGATGGGCACATTCAACAGTTCGCCATGTGACAGTAGCAGCTACTTACCTATTTTTTCGATAGGGGTGTTGAGAGGGAGAAACCCTTGCTTCAGAAGCTGCTCCATCATTTCTTCATCGTCTGCTTGGATTTCGGAGACCATATTGCAGGGGATAAGGCCCAGTCTTGCACAGGTTTCTCCCCGGTAAAACCCATCAACATCTTTATCGCCATAAACCTGATGTGATCAAGGATAAGAAAAAAGGGGATCGCTTGGTTCGACCAAGGGAGAAGAACCTCCAGAAGTTAAAACCAGCTGCTGATCTTGAAAGATCAAGGGCCTTCAGCCCACATGAGTGGATGGAGCCAGTTTGGAAGGGCTCTGAGCACATGCTAAATTCTTTCCCCACAAATTTAGCTTTCAGAATTTGAAGCATTTTGGTTTTGTAGGGCCTTTGGAGACTGGAGGACCTTGCCTGGCCATATTACATTATTACAGCTCTCATATCCACAGGTAGCTGTACTCTGTAGTGCTGTCACTGACATTTCTCTCTGTGCAAGAAAGGGAAAGTGCTTAACAGTGAAAGGATGAGCACACTGCCTTCTTGGGCTGAGGTTCTAAGTCCACTCCTGCAAGAGAGCTGCCCTGTTCTATTGGAGTGTGATACCTTGATGATCTGCCCTTCTTTGAATGGAAGTTCCTCTTCTGCTGCATCAGGGTTAGGAGACATGGTCAGTGGATCGTAGTCAAAAAGGGCGACAAAGATCCGTGTGGACACTTCCTCTGCACCAGGATCAGTTTCCGATTCTTCATAAACTTCTGGTGACAAACGTTCTCGGCTACTGTATCCATCTGGAAAATCAACACCAGAGGCCAGAAAACAGTGAGTGACATCAACCGTCAGCTCATCATGCATTATTTGAGTTTTAAAAGCTTTAGAGCTTCTGTAAAATATCATTCCAAGAAGTATGAGCTCTTTAACAAAACCCACAGTCTGTTTCTAGAATGCAGGTAGAACTGAGAATATAAGAAGAATCCTCTTGGATCGCAACAAAGCTTCCTTTATTAAAGCATCTTATGTTTATCAGCGGACAATGTGTGATGCTCCAGAAAAGCTCTCAAGCCTGGGCAAGAAGTAAAGGAAGCTCTATAGCCATTATTCAGAGGTACAGTTCCTCTGAACATGGAAGTCTTACTTGTCTATTATGACCAATGCTGTCTCTGAACAAGGTGGATCTGTTTAGACAACACAGCTAATCACTGCTGATAGACCACTCCTCCTGCTCCATGAATTTGTCTATCCCTCCTCAGAAACCAGCCAGCACCACATCTAACAGCAGCAAATTCCTTACATCAATTATGGTTGGAATATAAAGGCAGTTTCTTTGTGACTGAATCACCTACGAAACAAGGCTTTGGATCCAAGTCCTGCATTCATGAGAGCAAGGGACGTTCTGCAGAAAGTCCCTCCACCCCAGTTTGGAGGTTCTCTGCCCTCCATACCTGTCACTGATCACTACTCTGGGGTTTCACGACTCCCTGTGCAGCATGCCGGGGGTGGTGCTGTGGGAAGGGAAGGGGAAGCCCACTCTGGCCATCACAATTGATCTAGCGGCAATGTTCTCAGGTGTTCCCTCCCCCCATGTTCTAGTCATTCAGAAGGACAATCCTTCCTTCCTGTCCACAGAGGCCAACTTCTGTGTCCCCTCAATTCTAAATTTTACTCTCCTGCTCATAGAAGTTTTCTGGGGCTGGGCAGTGCCATGTTTTTCTCAGGGTCCTGTGGATATGTGGTAGCCCCAGCAGAGGAAAGGAAACCTGGAAGCCAAGGGAGTAACAGATGCCACGGGGCAGCAGACAGGAAGTGGCCCTGCAGGCAGCCCTACTCTGCCCCAGAATTTGATTGGCAATGCTTTAGGCCTCAGTCCTCTCAGCTCAGCAGCGCAGCAAGAACAGTGTGCCGCTATTTGAGGCTTTGGCAGAGTGGGGGGCTCAGATAAACTCAGTCCACTCAGTGCCAGCTCTGGGTTTTTAACAGGCCCCCTTCCCTCTGTGAGTCTACCTTTCCACTGCCCTTGTCACTGCCTGCCATCACCCCTAGTTGTCGTCTTCATCTTTGCTCCCATGGGCTTGCTCGACAAGGAAGCACAGAGACTGCAGGCATCTCCTGCGTCTCTTTCTCATCACCACCATTGTCTGGGCCAGAGCAAGGGGCATGTGAACAAGCAGCTAGTGGAGGGGAAGGGGAGGAGCAACTCCAGGCCTCTCTTGCCATTGGGCTCCTGTTGGAGTGTGGGTGGACCCTAGCAGGCGCTCCACTATATTGGGTCCCCACACTCTGGGTCCACGCATTGAACTCCCACGATCTGTTATCAGTACAAAGATCTTCACGGCAGGCGTCCATTACTCCACATGCGACCAACTCACCCAACCATCTAGATTATTATAGAAATAAGAATACCGACAGCGGTCACCCTGATGCAGAAGAGAGAGGGCTTCTAACTACATGCTATGCATTGTAAACCAAAGCCGCCTGCACAGCTATGAAAAGTAGCAAATTCCACCTGTGCCCCATAACAAGCCAGAGAAGTGCGTTCGGGATCAGGACCAGCAAAGCGGTTATGCTTCATGCTTCAGTTTCTCTTTGCTTGCAAAGCAACTTTGCATGCATCGAAATGTGGTGCATGGTATAAACCTTATTTACTGTCCGCAGAATGTGAGCCCTCTGCACCAACTATTTCGATAGATATACTGGTATTGATACAGCTTCTAAGCAGAAAGCTGGAGGAATGCAATATTCTCTGCCCAATTTAGAGATTGCACCCATCTTCTCCCCCACAACTTGGCCTCACAGTGCCTTTCCAGGCAAAACACATGCCCCTCCCACAACGACGCCTATCAGACAATCGTGTGCATCTTTATTAAGAAGCAACTCTGGTTACGTTCAGTGGGGCTTGCTCCAGGCAAATGCGCATAGACAGCACCTGGAGGACAGAGATGTGGCGAGTGCTTATGCCTCCATATATACTCGTGTGCCCTGCCATTTCCAGGGCACAAGCTGCTCTTGATGTTTCCACAGTAGCAATTTAGCACATCTGGGACAACCCTGAGTGGAAATCCTTGATTTTGGAGGAGGCAGGAGGTTTACATATGGGAGCTCGACTGGCATGCCTCCTTCCAGAAATAAGCATCTGCACTTCTTCCAGGGCTTCCCTAGGAAGTGATAAATCCCCCTTGCCTAGGTGCAGGGTCCACGTAGTTGGCCTCCCTTGTTCATGCAAAGCTGGAGTGGGCAAACTGTGTCCTCCAGATGTTTTGACCTGAAACACCTTTCGCACTAGGCAACCTAGCCATTCTTGAGGGATCATCCATCAGAACTGCACAAAGACCTGCCTAAAGGCAAAGAACTGATGCTCTCATTTTGTAGGTGACCAACACCAAGGCTGGGAAGTCAGCAGCAAGCCCACATCAGCCCACTTCTTTCCAAAATCCATATTGCTTGCAGGTGGTGAACCACTGGGAGTCAGAAAGTCTTGCCTACCTACTACGGTAACCTTCCAGGAGCTCTGCCAGGAGATCCCGTCTGCCATCTGAGCAGGACTGCCCTCAAGTAGCCTCACCTCCCACCTTCCTGGACTGAAGAAGACCCATTGCAGCAAGCAAGCTGCCTCCCAAGGACGCTTGCCTGGCATGACCGACTGAGCAAGGGTGGAGAGCTTGTGGTCCACCCTTCAGATGCCTGGCCCAGACCTCCCACTGGTCATAGCCATGAAAACTAGCAATGAGGGAGTTCAGCCAAGACATCTGGGGGTCCACAAGTTGCCCACTCCTGATGGAAGACTTTGTGCTTACCAAGACGGGCACAGAAGCAATTATGGGAATAGACATCAATAGAAGTATGTGCAAAGAGGGTCTAATGTGTTGTCCAAAACACAAACCAATAATAGTGCCACCATGTGGAGGTGCTGTTCACGGCAAGCATGACCACAACTGCCAACCACACATCCAAACCACCATCACAAACAAGGCACAGGCAGTGGCCTTCACTTGGCTAAGGTCAGAGTTTACCATTGCCATCCACCCCAATGCACTTTATCAATGAGTTCATTGGAAGTCCCCATTTGGAGACTCGCTGCCTTTAGGGAGAATAATATTGAAACGTTATTTCTGAGCCCTGGAAAGGAGGCACACAAAATTCATGGCAGGCAAATGAGAAGGAGGAAGCCCTGGCTCTGTACCTTTTAAAAGTGCAGTAGGAAATGAACAAGGAAGACAGAAAATGGGGTAGAGAGAGAACAGGGCAGAAGGGAATCGTCATCTGTGTATGCACACATGTCCCAGAAAGAATAGGAAAGAAGGGTCTAGATAACCTTTTCCTAAGCCAGCACCCTCCGGCTGGGGATGATGGGAGAGCACCAGGTTGGGAAAGGCAGCTCCAGGTGTTCAAAGGTAGCTTTCAGTAGGACCACTCATTAGATAAATAATTTGTCCTGGGTTTGGGCTTTCCCACATTTTTTCCCAAACTTAGAGGGCAGTAGGTAGTACTTAGCTTAGCCTATGTTTATGGATAAGAGAAGGCTTCCCTGTTCTGTTCCACAGGCTCCAGCCTGAAATTGCTGCTGCGGAACTGCCACTGAATTTTGCTAACAAAATTAGGTGGTGGAAAAAGCATGGCGTTTCTTCAGCCTGCTGGTCATGCACCACCCATGTCCACTGTGTGGAATGTAGGCTACTCTGTACCTGGAGATCAATTTGACCTTGGGGCTCCTGGAGTAAAAGGCCCACTCCTATCCATGCTACTCCAATGCAAATTTCCCTGAATGTCATGGACTTTCCTCCGAAATAGGTGGGCACTGGGCACAGACCAAATCTGCATATCGTCATACTATTGCCTATAGGTTCCTTCGTCAGGGTCCTGTTTTCATGACCACGTCGCAACAGAAGCACTGAGGACGAGGGTACGGAAGCAGTGGCATGGTTGGTGTTCACTGGGGTTCTGCAGCCACGAGGGAAGAAGAAGAAGAGGACGAAGAGAAGGGGCAAGGGTTCATGCAATGCATAGTGCTTTGACTCGTTTCAATATGGAAAGCTGGATGGCATGGCAAGGAACTGGGGTCGACGACCAAAAGCTTTCTTCTCCCTTGGAGGCTAAGCCTAAGCAAAACTTACCTGTTTTTCAAGAGGAGAGATGGCAGGGAAAGCAGGACAAGACTTGCCTTAGAAAGAGAGGCAGCCGCCTTGGCATTTGGTGTGGCATGCAACGCTGACATACAGTAATGGCGCTCATTTCACATCCAGCTCTAAAAAAGCAGCTCTCGCTTTGGGTGGGGGCACAAAGGACAAAGAAGGGTTTTGGCATACCGTATCTATAGTGAGAGGTCACGGTACGTTGCCGGCACCATTTCCTGTGTCCGCCAATGTTGCGATAATACGCTTCTTCTTTTACGGGGGAAATATTTCCCTCACTACCTGACCGAGACCGAGCACCTTCACTGTTACTGTCCATTGTAATCTCTATGGAGAAAAATGGAATCGTCTATTAAGCAAACCTTATACCCTTCTTTGCGCAGGCTTCCACAGGGCAGGGCTCAGCCTCTAGTTGCTTTTGGTTGGAAGAAGACATTGCCCAGTGAAGCTACTTAGCATTTTACACCTGGAGGGGACATCCCATGTTTTGCCTGAGTTTCCAGTGTGCGGACAATTAACCAGGTGGGCGTGTGACAAGTCATGAGACAAGGTAGCAAATTTGTCCATTTTACTCCCACCCACCCATTTTTGTTTTGTTTTGTCATGTTCTTTCCATGCCTTTTATAAAGAAAGTTGGTCATTTTGCTAAGTTCATAATAGAGCGAGAAAAAATAATCACTCAACTGCACTGACTAAATTTTGAATCCCAGCACGAAGATACTCTTATACCTTCCTGTTCTGTACAGTTGAAGAGGAAGAACGGACGAGAAGGGAGACTAATGCAACATCACGAGTCGTTGCATGCACAGGGGTTCAGATCCAGACGCCAGGTCCTGGACCAGGATGGATGGATCTCTCCATTTTGGTTTCTCCCATGTACAATTTCTTTAGCTCTTAGCTTCTTTCTATCCCGTTTCTGAAGAACTTTGGAAATAAGGTCTCCATACGTTGGAGACAACTTGACAGTACACCACAACAACAGCAGCTTTCATTTTTAAGGACCCAGATGAAATTTTCACGCACCCCTAAGACCCATGAGTACACAAGACACTGCAAAACCTTTGAGGCTGGGCATGAGAAGTAATGTTCGGTGTTCCTTGTGGGAAGGAACTCTTGAAAGTATGGTTAGCAACACGGTTGGACTTGGGACGGCACAGACACATTTTGCCTGCGCCATCAAGGACTGAGCAAGACCATGGGCCAGGCCAGCAGACAGAAAGAGAAAACAAGCACTCTTACAGTGGCTGATGGATGACACAAGACTCAGTAAAAGTTACACAAAGAGACCTGTGTAAAGCCAGTTCACTCCTGCACAATAATTCCTAACCAACAGCATTGTCTTACTGTTTTGAAAGGTTTGATTTACACATGTTGGGTTTTTTTGGCTTGCTTGTTTTTAAATTATTTTTTAGGTAGACTGCAGATACCACAGGGGCCCTTTGTGCATCACCTTTGAGTGTGAGAGAGAATAATCCCATGGCAACAGTGTAAGGCAGTGGGTAGCCTCGTGCACTAAAACATGGGAGGACAGAGTGTGACTCCTCCCCCAGTAGTGATGCTCATGGAGTGCCTGCAGGCAGGTCACTGTCACAGTGACTCAGTGACGCACTGTCTCAGAGGCTCCTGAGGTTATAGCAATGATAAAATTGCGGGGCGGGGGGAGGCTGGGGGAGAGCCATGGACACATCCTGAGCTCTTGGGAGGAAAACGTGGGAAAAATCTAACACCCAGTAAAACAAAGTCTTAGCTTGCTGGATCCTCCAAAGCAGAGAGTTTTCTTCTTTCTTTACCAGATATAATACATTTCTTACCATGCACAAAGATGCACATGGTGTGTAAATGGAGCAGTGGGTGGGTGTGGTTTAATCCTATATAACTCTGTCATCCTGTATAACCCAGTCAAGGACTAACATTAAAAAAAAGTGTCAGAGGACATTGACTTTGTTGTTGTGAGAAGTGTTGCCGTCAGTTATTCAGAATATAGCCATGCACTGAAAGTAGAGGCCATCTTCCCTCTAATTTCTAGTATTTTCTCAAGAATTTAAATTCTTGCATTCAATCCCTAACATTTGGTTAATCTTAACTATGGATTATGGAAACAAGCCCACTCATACACCACAGTTTGAAGCTCGCTTGCTTCAGTAAACCATACTTAAGACTAACTAGAGTTTGCCCACATTCAGACATAACACTAAATTGTGGTCAGTTAAAAACACATGTGAATACTTCCAATCCACCTTCTCATTGCTTCACTAAAGGAGAGGGGAGAACCGATGAGCACAAAGCTTGTTCATGTAACAACCATCATTCGTTGTTAGGTCTTGAGGCAACACAAAAACATGGGAAGTGCTTCCCCAAACCCTTGGAATTTTTATTCTGCTAACAGGGTCTGGAAATATAGTTCCTTTTTCAAGGACTTTGTCTTCTCTTCCCACAAATACATATGGGAAAAATCAGTTTCAGCAAAGGAAAGAGTAAAAGAACTTGCTATTTATTTGTGATAATCATTTATTTTAATAGCAAAGGCATTTCCCCATACATATGGGTAACTGCCAAAGTGGGGTGGAACGCTAAGGAATTTATGCTTTTGGGAGCAGAATGGTTGGTTCACTGAAGGGAACTCGTAGTATAGATTTCCATTTCTGACACTCAGATTGTCAGATATTCTTTGGTACTGGTGAAAAAAATGTAGGGAAAGTGAAATGCACTGGGGATGAATGAAAAAAATGAGCACATTCAGAGATGGATCAATGAATAGGGTGAGTGCAATACCACTGCAATTCATTTCGACAACAGGTCGATATCTACCCTACAATACAAGCTTGTATTTGGCTTAAGTGTTGTGGCTTCCCCCAACCCATCCTGGGAAGTGTAAGGGCAAAGGAGTTACACAGAAGCATTTGGGGCTTTCTTCCATTGTGTACTTTCTAGTGACAATAGTCTTGACGGGCACCAAATGGGCAGGTAAAGAAAGGTGGCACAACCATTTCTAACCTACTTGCCACTCTAAAACCACCTTCCCAAGCTTTTAAAAACCCATATAAGGGTGTTGGTCACATCTCACACCTTTTCACCTGCAAATGAAAAAGCAGTTGATACAAGATTTTAAGCTGAATATTAGTCAGAGGAGAATGTTTGAAGTGGACCTCTTCCCTTCCATTTTTCCACTCTACTCCACTCATCTCCAGAAATGGATTCAAGTTCTGCCTCTGCATTTTTATTAAAGAGAGGGAATAACATGCATCCGCTTTGGCCAATACGTTAGCTAGCATGTCAAGGAAGAGAATTCTTCATTTACAGGTTCTTCAAAAAACTATGTTCCCCCAGGATTCATGGGGAAAAGAAACAATGAACTGCTCACTACTCTAGCATTAGCAGGTTGAATCCAGGATCAACCTTCCTTGGATGCTGCTCACAGAAAGCTCCTGTGTCTGAAGTTTTGGGATCTCTCCTCCCACAACACCACAGCTCACCACATTCAGTGTGCAGGCCTTGGATGCTCCAAGGCATGTTCTGGAGGCTTCAGGCCTGCCACCAGATGGAATTCGCAACATAAATCTGGATCCAACCCAACAGGTACAGTCGGAATGCCAAATGCACCCACCCTTCCCAACCAGGAGTCTTCTGGACATGTTGGACATGGGCTTCCATCAACCTGAGAAGGTTGGGAATTGGTCAGAAATGCTGGAAATGGTTGTCCAAAACATGCAGAGGCCACTAGGTTGGCGGGTTGTAATGCATCCTGATGCAGCTGGTTTTCAGACACTAGCCGTTCTCAAGCAAAGGGTAAGAGGCAACTAGATGGAATCAGTCAGGCAATCAAATCCAGTTCAACCATCTGGACTGCTCTGCTGAATGAAATGTGCCAATCTGCATCATGATGCAGCAGCTAGAAAGATCCTGTACTCTAGAGAAGGTGCAGTTGGGCCTTCAGCTCTCCCTTTCTTGGAACAAAGCCTTTTCTACTGAAAGAGGGAGAATGGAGGAGTGTTCCTCCACTTCTCTAACAGGTTGATAAGTGGCCTGCGCTCCTTTACTACCCTAATTATCAACCCTTTGGGCTATTGTCCTCATGGAACCGTAGAACACAGGCAGGGAAGATAGAGCAGCATGTCTGAATGCTGCCACATGTTAGTACACTGGAGGAAAACTGGGTCAGTCACCTCCTCCCCGATGCGCTTGTGGGATGGAGGGAATGTGGCATAGGGATGCTTTCAGGCACAAGCCCTGCAGCACACATAAGAGGTACAAACCCTGAGAGGATTCCCTACTTGCCGTGCCTCTAGGCGTGCCGTCATTACTTTCATTTGCCCGAGTTGCTGGCAAATCTCTTACCATGCTTGCAGCAGGATGCTCCCATGAATCCTATACAGAACTGGTTTACCGCCAAGAACTTCCCTATAGGACCATGCCTTCCCCACTCATCTGGCCCACCTCTGGTCCCCACAAGCAACATTAAAGTACCAGTCAGGCCAACTAACCAATAGAAGGAACCAACATGGTCCGCAACCTCTGTGGTCCCGCTCCGCCATGCGGTACTCTTCTCCCCGGGTGTTCCACCCTGTCTGGTCGTCCAGAAGAGGATGGGTTACCTAAGAGCTAAAGAGCAAAACAAATGGGAAAGGGGGAGCGGGGGAGAGAGAGATTTGAGAATTACACCACTGCATGATGTCAGGGGTCGTGGGAGAGGGGAAGGGGTGGGGTGTGTGGAAATGAACATAAAGTCAAGTCAATCATTGTCAAAAGCTCTAAAGGCAACTAAACTTTATTTTTAACTGAAAGGTTAGCTGAAAAGAGACGGACAGGATGCTACTAAACCTGGAAAACAAAACAAACAAAACAAAAAAAGAGAAACGTTTGCTGGCCTGATGTGGTACATACTTTGCGAATGACAGTCACATGTTAGAACAGAAAAAGAGTCTAAGACATTCTTTTGCCTTTGTCGTTGCCACTAAACATGCTTCTGCTCCCTGTGAGTCCCTTCGAAGAGGAATGACACTGCCATTGCCCAGAGCTGCGAAGAGAGGTTTTTGCCTGTGCCTTTGGGTTGATTCAATCATCTTGTTCCAGCCAGAAACACTGTCACTTTTGCAGCATCACCATCCATCTCCTGCCATATCTTCCCCTACTGACTTGGACTTTGAAAAGTCATTAAGACTTTCTGGGAAGGACCCCACGGCCTTCTTGCATGTGTGTGGATATGTATTCCCTGCCCCCACCCCCAAATTGCACAGCCTGCAAAAAAGCTTTGCTTGCTAGACTGCTGGAAATGTTGCCCACATCTTCAGTGGTTGGTTTCCCAAGCAATCAATGTTTTTAAAAAACAGAGAGAGAGAGAGAGAGAGAGAAAGAAAGAATGAAACAGGGAGACAGAAGGAAGTATCCATTGGAAAAAAAACTGCTGGTTTAGTTAATGCAGAGGCAGTGGCTGCAGAATCTAATGATAGCGCATAGGAGGGAACCTTTCCGGAGTGTCCATTCTCTGGATTGTTGCAGTCTTACAGGGTGTATGAGCCATCCTTGATTGTATTTGGGATCAGGAGGTTTATGAAGTGGGTTACAACACAGAGCTGGCCCTCTTGCAGATTAAATATGGAGCTACACTAAGCATCCTCAGAGATAACGTGTGGGATAAAAGCTGATAGCTTCTCCTGCATTCTGAGATGCAGTTTGCAACTTCAAAGGCAAGAAGAGATGGTTTTCTTATTTTTTAAAAAAGGAAAGAAAAGAAAAGGGGTAGCAAAAAAGGTGGATGAGAGAAACACAATCTTTTAATTCAAAATCCTAGGTCACTGTCACTACTGGACAGGAAAAGGAGGAGGTGTTTGTTCTTGGTACTTGCCCAGAGATAAGGATTGAAGAGAAAGAGGTTTCTTCCTTGCAAATCTGGGAGCGAGGAAAGCAAAAGCAATGTGACAAGATGGAATATATAAAGCAGATTTTAAAAAGAGGGAAAGCATTAGAATTAAGGTGGTTGTTGGGCTGCATATTCCTTTCAAATTCCAAGTTAAACAAAATTTTCTACGGAACATATTGCAAACTAAACCACAAAAAAGGAGGAAAGAAATGAAAAGAAAATAAGAGCAACCCCAAATGTTAGGATATGATAGTTCAGCTAACCCTTAATTAAAATTTAGTTTCAGTTGTCCTTTGAAAGAAAAAAAAAAGGGGTGGGAAAAAGCAATTTTTTATTTACTGGTCTGTTTATTGCCTAGAGGGGCTGAAAACGTTGTTGTAAAGCAAATTAATCCCATTTTAGAATGGCATGGGGAAGGGGAGAGAATAAAACAAAAATATAGAGAAGCCTGTGAAGCAACATAGATTAATAAAGAAATTAAATGCATGGGGGAGAACAAAGAAAGGAAATGAAAAACAAATAAGTAAAAAAGCATAGAGGCATGTCAAGGATGGCCTTTTTAAGAAAAAAAAATAAAAAGGAAGAAAAGGACACAAAGCAGGAAAAGAGTTTGATTTGGCAAGCAGATGTTAGAAGGAAGTTTTTACTTCAACACACCGGTGGGTCTTTGGGATCTTGGTAGGAGGGCCTTGCAAGTGGCACGAAAGCAGCCCTAACGTCACTCGCTCTTAAGGGGCTGCTCCAGCCTCCCTGAAAATCTTCACGCATCACATTATTTGCTCTACTACACCTCTGAGGGTCATACTTCCTCTCACAATACTCCGGTCTGCCCTCCTCACTTTGGGATTCCAGAAAGGGAGGAACGGGGTCCCCAAAGTCTTCTTCGATGCTGCTTTGCCTGGTCAGGGTCCTCCGGCGGGCAAGCAGGGGGCGAGGGGTCCTCCGGCACAAACAGCTCCCGCCATCAGCGCAACAGGGAGGCGCCACTGTGGCAGAAACCGTGTCGTACGCAGCGCGGAAGCCGAAGCGCGACTCCTCCTCTTCGCTCCCACAGTCCAGACCACTGTCTGGGCTTCTTGTGGAAGACCTGCTGAATTTGTAGCCCTGCTCGTCCGAATCCTCCAAAACCCGTTGTTTGGCTGGGTGCCAGGAACTGTGTGGTGGGTCTTGATTGTAGCTCCTGGCAGATCTACTCTCTCTAGTTATTGCATGCCGTATTTTGTGGGGCATCCCTAAAACCTGCTTGTGCAAACGTTCAGAATAGTCTCCATCCTCTTCGGCAACTTCGGGGATACTGAAAAGTTTTTTACTGTGGTGGATCTGCTGGGCAAAATCAGGCCGTTGCAAAACAGCAGCTTCAGTGGTCTTATTCTTATAACATTCCTTTGAGCATATGTGTTTAAAAAAACAGAAAGGAAAAGAAAGAAAAGTATAGGCAAGAAGAACAAATAGTGTGCGATCAAAACAAAAAAAGAGGAAGGGAGAAGAAAGAAAAAAAATAAAGACAGAATTAGTTTTAGAGCAATGGTGAACAGAAAGCATGCAGTTTTTATTCAGTGCAGAAAGATGTCATGCTTTGGATGGTAATCTGTGAAAATAAAAGACATGATTAGGAAGTTGCCCAGTGTCATACATAGTGCAAGGATGTTGGTAAGGATGGGGACTAAACCTGTAATGGGCTCAAATGAGTGTGGATTTCTCCGAATCTGATTCTGCATTGGATCAGCATTTCCTGAGTCACACCGTTTCTGTGGGCTTGCAAACTGTTGATTTTTAATATACATAATTTTACATACATGTAGTCATAGATAAAATACTGCTATGACTGCTACTACTACTACGAACAACAACTGACCAAAACCCCACATTTTCTGTATACACTAATGCATGAAAATACACATGGGGGGGATTTGTGCATTTTGGGGAGTGTGAACTTTTGCAACTGTGAATTTGCACAAAAGGATACAAATCTATTTGTGCACACTCTGACTCGGTCAATGGGCACATGATGGAACAAAGGGTACCTGGATATCTGTGAAACGCAGGCAGAGTAGATTTCAGAGCAAGTGCACATCCCTAGAAGTCAGCACAGCAGGTTGGTGCATTGAGGCGCTGATAAAAACGACACCACACACTTGAAGCCAAGTTGCTGATGTCATACAAAAAGTCTATGTTAAGATGGGTCCCCATAAGGCACTTTACTGTTCCTTCTGCATTGGGGAAATGGGTTGGAAAGACTCAGACATCCATGAGGGCACTGCCATCTTCCTGTTTACTTCTGGGCCTGTCTAAAGATGATTCTGCACCAGAGGACAGCATATGAATCAAGAGGAAAAAACATTTTTACCTACCAGGTGCTAGAAAAATTACTGTTAGGAAGGCAGAAGAATCAGCACCATGGAGAGCTCCAAGACATGATGTTTGCTTTTTTCTATTTGTGCTCCTTTCTGTTAAAGAACGCTCAGTTTTAGAAGCTTAACCTTCAGCTTGGGGATGGCTTAATACCAACTTTCTGTCCGCTTGAGTTTTTCTCTTTTGCCTTTTCTTGAACATGTGTGCCTGCAGAAAACTTTTTGTGCACATGGCAGATTAGATGAGGTATGTGTGGGGATGGTGAGGAGTCCTTCCAATGCTGAGATCCTAATAAATTGCTCAATTGAGCAAAAATTAGTTTCAGGCATGTGAGCTACAGAATTCTTTGCACAGAAGTCTAGCCGCTGTTGGGAAGAGTCTGATTATTTGTTTATTTTGAAAGCAAAGAGAATAGAGGCTCTCCAGTGATGCTTGAGTCTGAAGATGCTGCTAGCCCATGAGATGTTTGGCATATTCAGGCCTACACACAAGTAATCCAAGGCTGCTTCCTCTCTTATTCTCAGGAACAGAAGATTGCCTGTCTCCTAGCTGCTTTTTACCTTGAGTGTGTTATGCGAAGTGATACTGACTCTTCTCCTGCCTCCATCCTCCAGCTGCATCTCGGAGTATAGCTCTTCCTCATCTTCTTCCATGATGTCCGACAGGTCGGAGCCCCGGCTGCTCTCTGTGTGGTACTCCTCCCCATGGCAATAGTGGGGCTGTTGGAGGACGGGGAGAGGAGAAAGGGGACAAACAGAGCTAGATGGACTTACACAATTAATCTCAAGCCCAACTCCCGGTCGACCTCAACATTGGAACCAGAGCTGCAGGTATGCACAAAACGAACTGACCTCTTAATGCCAGCTGGGGGTTAGGCAGTATCTTAGCACTCCTTTAAAAATAAGCGAACAGGTTCCTCTGAGTCATGACCACACTGCCTCTCAAAAGAGGGCTTCGAGCCAGTTACCTGCTTCCCAAGCTCAGAGCCTTTCAAGAAGTCATCCACCGACGCCCCTTTCCTTTTGATGCGAGGTGAATCATAGCCGTCCTCTTCTTCGTCAGAGTTCGTGTAATGCACAGCGCTGCTCCTTTCGGCAACCATGCTTCGCCTCTCCAGCTGCAGAAGTGAGAATAAGGAGGGGGAGTTGCTTACTGGAGGGAGGCAGGAGACCCCATTTCAGGCCGTGTGCCCGAAGGCCAAACTAAACAGGTCAAATGGATCTTTGCATTTCAGTTGAATGTGTTTCGTTTTTTGCTGTTCAAACACTAAGAAATGGGGGGGGGGGTCAATGGGATCAGAACTATGGGTGGGCAAGCATGCAAGGTTTAAGTGACTTAAGGTACCCCAAATTCATTCTCAAAGCTTGGTACACCTCACTGGTTTTCTGAAACATGGGGAGGGTTTTTCTCTCTCTTGGAGCAGATAAAAATGTACATTTTCCCCACTGAAAAATAGACGTTCTTTCCTGACTCACCCTGTTGCTCTCCGCTGCAACCCGCTGAGCAGCTTCTCGGGCCATGGCCTTCGCAACAGTGTTGGGGACGGGCGTGCCTTGTGGCTGAGGGAGTATCCGGTTTGGAGAGGGTGACCTTCTCCCCTGGAGGGGGCTGTGGAAGTTGGGAGGCTCCAGGGTGTGTCCGTGAACGGGGGATGCCGCACGGGCCTGCTCCCATGTCTCATCCCTTTTTACATGCGGACATAAATGTTCGTCTTTGGTATCTGGGATGCCGGCACTTGGTAGTGGCTTAGATTTGGGAGCTGGCCGGGGGAGAGGGGTTGGAGGCACCAGTAGGTCAGGTGGAATGGTTGCACTCAAGGAGTCCACCGATTCCCCTTGGGCCGAAAGTGTCCGGACGAGAACTTCCTTAGCTTCCAGGTTCCGGATTCTTGTTAGTTCCACCATGGTATTCTCTGCCGTGGGAAAGATCACTTCTGCCACCTAAACATGGGTGCAAATGAAAGCCCAACAAAAAAGGGCCAAGTTACCTGAATGAAGACTATAAGCAGCACAAGCATGGGAGGGAGCGTTCTGAATGCGATACAGGTCTGGAAGCAACAGCACGGAGGAGTACAGCCAGGAGGACTAGGAGTGTGGTAGAACATGCTCTTCTGAGGTGTGGAGGGAGGCATGTTGACCCACCGCACTGACACCATCCACAGGTTGCCACTTTCCCAGTCTGCCTCAAGCCGTTCATCTGAATATTCCACCATGAACACACAGGGGACTAGCCAGGTATGCTAGCTTTGTAAATGTGGGAAAATGTGCTTATTTTGTAATGGGGGATACACTGAAATATGGGGATTCCCTCCTTTGCTCCTTGCCCATGACCTGAAGAAAAATACAAGAAAAGCTTTGCCACGTCATTCTGCCAATTCTATTCCTAGCTCATCCAGCTACAAAGGGACGCTCAGCATGTGCTCAGGCACCTCCTGAGACAACTGGTAAGGCTGCGGAGCCAGCAGGATGCTGCCCAGGGGTGGGCTGCCCAGTCACTGCATTGAAAGATGAGGCTTCTCCCAGCACAGATCTGGATCATACCAAATGAAGTGGGAAACCACACTTACCCTTTGACCTTTTGCATAAACGCCGTAGCCAGTGACGGTGGCCCCATTGGAGGTCCCTGTTGCCGTGAGCATTGGTGGCTTCCAAGAAACCAGGATAGTTCCTGGTGTTGGTCCAGCCTGGATTCTAATGTCTTGAGGGGGCGCCGGTGGACCTAGAATAGGAAGCATGCTTCTGTTACCACCAGCCTGCCCCCTATTTATGGAACAGTCTCCCTGCTAGCGAAGGTATACTTGTCTGTAGTCTTTTTAGAGTGGCAACTGAAAGGAAGTGGGGAGGAGGCTTCTCTGCAATTGTCCTGCAACTCTGGATGTAATACTCACTGTGACGTCGTTCTCAGCTCAGCATGCCAAGCATGGCTTGCCTGCAATGGCTCAATAGCGGCACTTGCAATGGACCACATGTGTTAGAATCTAGGCTTCAGCCTGCTGCCTTTCCTGCTTCACAGTCTTCTTCCCTATCGGAAGCACTTATTGAGGCTGATCAGTCCTATCTACCCACAATCTGTGTTTATACATACTTATTATCCGTGGATAAATATGATACGCAGCAGCTTAAGCAGGAGCGGCAGAGGGAATTAGGCTGCCCTGTTTTGCCTAATCTATAGATGGCTGCTTTAGCTTCTGTATCCGAACTCTCTAGGGATCTCAGGTTACATCTTATTCAGCAAAACCCTCTTGTTCCAGGTCTGTGGGTTGCCACAATGTGTCTTTCATTAGGGTTTGTCTAGGTCCGCTAGTTGCTGGAGGTATAATGCATCTCTATCTCATATGGCTTGGCAATGCCAATAGTCACCTCTTTTTCTGAGGAGGCTATTACAGAGATAAACTTTGTACTGGAACACTCTTCCATGTTTATGGATGCACATTATCTCTCCACATCTACCTCTGCAACTGAGCTGCTCTCCGAACAGAAATGCTGCCTGTTTTTTTGCCTTTGCCAGGTGGGGAAAGACTTCCAGTCCATGTGGTATATGCCTTTCTCAAAGCACACATGCATAGCAATCAGGATGCCGAACTCAGGAGAACTGGACTGAGCTCCTCTCTCATCCCAGAAGCTCCCTGATAATGAGGTGGACTTACCTTGTTGAACATCTATCTACTATATTTCCCATGGGTGCCCCCCCCCCACAAGGTGCTGTGAATATTTCCTCTTGCATTTCTTAGAAGCCGTTGATCAAGGTTAAGCTGAGTGATTTGAGTCCTCCAGTGGGCCTCCTGGCTGCATGGGCAGCTCACCTGGGTCTCCTCAGTTCTGGTCCAACACCCTAGCTAGCTACTGGAACCACGTGGCTGCCCAGAACCACCTTGCATCAGTTCTTATAGGATCTCCCATCCTCAATGTATGCATGGAGCAGACTTCGATCTGTTTAGTTCTAGCTAAACTGCCGCAGTGTGCACTTCCACCCTCTTCTCTGCATCCTAGGAGTGGGCGGATGTGGAACTCTTCCAAACCCTGGGCTTCGTGCTACAACCCGCCTCCCCAGCACCAGAAAGTAAAATAAAAACCTATGCAAGGATCTTCTCATCTGAAGGCCCTGAAAACCTGTTATCACGATAGTGCCCTTGCTATATCTCTAATTAAAACCGATTTTCTAAATATAGAAGCAGGCTGGATGGAAACACAAAGCCTAAAAATATAATGGCCATTATTATGGCTATGCATATTTCATGAGTTCTGTTGCACGTTCAGCAGCATCTCTGCTAAACGGAAGAAGTTAAAAAAGCTCTCGGAGGGAGAGAACCACCCCCCACCCCCAGCGACATCTGAACGGTCAATTCTCTGTCATGAGAATTGGGAATGGACCACACTCTCATCACATTTCTGTTGCCAGACAACTGAAACTTCTTAAGGACGGGAAAGAGTAAACATTGTGGGCGCTGAAAGTACACATTTTTTTCCTCAGTGGGTGCCTATATATCAGTTATCCCTCTTAGTTTTCCAAGGAGAAGGGTGAGTACATAATTCAGGAATTTACCACCCTGCAAGAAGCTTTGCTTTGATGAGGGTGAGCCCTGTTCCGGGTCAGCAGTTTGCACCCAAGCCATCTTGCCAAGTGAGACCTACCTGCACAAAGCTGTGTTTTGAAAGACACCTGTGACCTGTGCTATTTTATGTTTCCTTTTACAGGGTCAGTTTTACTGTATGTTTTAGCTATTTTAAATTTATTTTAATGCTGTTTCTTTTTATGATATCTGCATTTTACTGTTTTGTTTTTATGCATTGTTGCAAATGGTCCAGAGACCTTTGGCTATGGGTGGTACAGAAATGAAAGCAACGACAAGAGAAGAAATTCCCCAGCTGGGGTACCTTGCAGGTGCATTGGACTACAGCTCGTGGCTACCTGGGAGACGATGGAAAGTTTCGTCAATGTATCTCGGGGGTTTGGAAAGGCCGCTCAATGAGCTTTGCCCAGGCACTGGCCGAGTACTCCAGTTATTTGAGAGGTGTGGATGTTTGAACACAGTCTCTGCACTCAGTGTCCTCCTCTCAGCCAATGTGGAGCCATCTCAGAGACTATGCAGTGCTCTGGGGTCTCACCTGTCTTTCCAGACTACTTTGAGTTATGGCATTTTCTGCTTTATTCCGCATGCTAACGGTGGTGACTTCGAGTTAATCCTTTTCATCTGCCTCCACACAGTGACTGGGCTCGGACATGAGACCCCATGAGTGTGGGTTGGTGCTGAACCATGGGGTGAGTTGAAATGTGGGTTTGAATCCAGCTGAAATATCAAACCAGGATGAACAACCCAGCAAACCAAAGCTTCTCTGCATGCCTGTTAGGGCACCTTGGCGCAGGCAACAACAACCCATGCTTAGCCCTTGGATGAGGTTATTTGGTTTTCAGCACAAACCAGGAATGCAGAACCTTTCTCAGCCTGGGAACAAAATTCAATTTCAGAGAAGCCCTTGGTGGTTGTACTCCAGGGATGGGTGGCGTGGAAGGCCACTGGAGGGGGAGCCAAAACTCCAGAAATGTGAAGAAGGCCAGGGCTGAGGAGATAAGTCTAGCATTCCTGGACAAACCAGCCTGTGTTCTGATATCACCATGCTGGTCAGAAGCAATCACAAACAGCAGCACCATACCACTAAAAGTAATCCCACCTGCTGGCAAAGTAGAAAACTCTACGAAGGCTTCTTTTTTTTCCCGTTGCTCCAGTGGAAGTTGCCAGGGCATCTGGTGAGGTTTGGCCAGTACCTTCACCTTGTAGGCCATGTTGGGCTTCAGGTTAAAAAACTGATACTTGTATCTGGCAGCCTTGACAATGTCAAACTCTTCTTCATTGAGGAAGATCACATGACTGTAATTGCTGTTGGTTGGGAGCCAGGTGAGCTCAGCAGAAATCTGGGTCACGTTGTCCACCTTAAGGTGGGACGGTGCCACAATGACATCCTTCCCCACCAACAAAGTGCACTGGAGCTCATCGGAGTTGCCCCTACTGGTTATGCTCTGAATGGATATTCGATACGTGCAGGTAGCAATGTTAAGTTTTTCTATGAGAGCTTTAGTTCTGCTCCCCAAGGAGACATTCATCCGTATTTCTTTGTCTACCAGAACATTGTAGCTATGAATGGTTCCCCATCCAGGTGGCACGACCGGAGGCTCCCAGCCCACAATAACACTTTTGGCTAGTTGTTTGATAAGGGTAATTTTTCTAGGATAAGGCACAATGTCTTCTCCAATCTCATCAATGTTCACATCCAGGGTCCCGGCACCATTATTAACGACACTGGACTCTAAGTGGCTTGGTGGGTTGATCTCCAAAAGGCCACCTCCATCCAAGGCATGACCGATGTGGTTGATGTAATTCTGGTCCTGCTCCCTGCTCAGCCCGGTCGACAAACGGGATTCATTGTCCTGCACAAAATCCACAAAGTTGGAAGGGACCAGGCCTCTCTGTCCATCTAGAAGCTCACCTGGAAGAGAAAGAGGAAAGATGGGAGGCAAGCGGCACAAAGGCTTCCAGGTGGACTCTCATGGCCCCATCATGAGAAGTGATGAGTCAGGGGCAAGAAAAACAGTGCCAACCAACCTTCATAGAAGCCATCTTCATCCATGTCTCCATATACATAGAGGTATTTTCCTGCTGTGAGCGGGAGCTCTGCTTCGGGATTTTCATTTGGTCCATCAAATGGGTTGTAACTACAGAAAAACACAGAGGTGGTGACCTTTCCTCATCATCTTTGGGGATCAAATAAGTAATTTGCCAAGAATTGCAGGGTGGAGTCAGAAAAGGAGGAGAGGTAGGGAGACCATTCCTGATCCCTCTTGACCACCTGCTCTTCCTGTGCTCATATTTAGTCATCCTGGGCAGTTAGCAGTGAAGAGTCTTGGGACTATGGTAGGCAGAGCAGCTGAAAAGTGTCAGACACTCCAAGCAAGTGTGCAGGGACCGGGCTCCCTTCTCCTACAACACAATCTTCAAAGGTTCTTGAAGCAGCTTCTGATCCAGAAGTGGAAGAACTGCCAGAATCCACAGCTGGCTTGCCCAAGCTCATGGACCAGAGCTACGTCAGGCAGTCACTGAGAGTCAGATACTTACAAGTTCTGTGGGAAAGACTGGAGAGCTGAGTTTATCAGAGATGGAACAGATCCAACATCATTAGTCCAATAATATGGCCAACTGAGAGGCATCAGAAGCTCCAAGCAGTTGGCCCATAAGGAGCAGGATCCACCTTGAAGGTGGACCCAGCTTGTTTAGGTCTGGAGGGGAAGAGGGCAATTCAGCTCGGAATCACCTGCTTATCGTGCAGCCACTTTCCCCTGATGGTCGCTATTCTAACGTTGCTCCTATCTTCTGCTATTGACCTAAAGAACTAATCCAATCAAAAGAGATTTGGTGAGTTGAAATTACCTATATCGGGCAATGCAAAGGTGGACTTTTCCCGAGTATCTCTGCTTTGAGGTATTAGAATTCCGTTCATTATCCATCTGCAAGAAAAAGTAAGAAATGGGATGGGTTGTCCATCTCCACAAATCTACCAGCATTGGGATGGTGGATCCCTTCACCTCGAGGAGCACAAGGATACACAGCGGTGCTTCATGTGGGATTCCTCTCTCACTCCCACTCCTCTTCACTCCAGACAACCCTGCAGCTTACCTTGTTTATTTAGGAATATGCTTAAAACTAAACATGACAAATGTGATCGTGGTAAAAACTGGGACTGAGCGCAGTGCCCAGCCATGTGCAAAATCTCTTTGCACAATAAAAATTCCATCACTGTTCCGGCCTTTTGGATCATGATGGGTTTTGAAAAGAGCACTCAATGCACACTGCAATTGTGCAGGCCAGAAGGTTAACTGAATATCTTGCAGAGTCACAGGGGCCTGGCTTATACAGAATCAGACCGTGCCTTATTTAGCCAGCGAGTGTCTATTCCGGACAGAAGCTTGTTCTGTTGGAAGTGTTCAGTGGGCTGCATTTGGCCCTGCTCTGCCCCCCGTTTGCTCATTGCTCCCTCTCTCTGAGCTCTCCAAGCCCCGCTCTGAGGGTGCTGAGTGTACAAAGCACATTCTCCGGCACCAAGCAGATCCCTCCCATCCAACAGGAAGATGCATTCTAACAGGTCAGACCATTTGTCCATCTCTCCCAGGACTGTCTACTCCGGGCATGCAGAACTTCCTTCAGCCCACCATGGAGAAGCTCTCGCAGCTGTGTTCCACTGATGGGTGACACTGAAGCCAAAAGGGAAGGCAAGGACACACCAAAACTGCCAGCAAGTTTTAACTTAAAGTTTTTTTCGCCAGGAACTGAGAGTCAGAAGAGACATTTCAACCTATGGGAATGGGAAACACTACTCCAGAGGCAGGAAACACACTGAAGGAAGTTAAGCCCTCCCGGGACACCCTGTGCAAGAGGCAGATAGGAACTCCATGCCTGGGGCCCTGACTGGGAGCATCCTCCCATGGGACGTGGTGCGCTGTAATGCTGAACTGACTCCTGCAGTTTGGATGCCATTCTGAAAAGCTCTCTTCTGAAAGCTCTCTTTGGCAACAAAGCCACCGGAAGTAGCCAAACACTTACATCAGTGGCTCCCACCTGTCACATTCTGGGACTGAGTGCTCCGGACCGCCCCCGCTCTTTACCCACCCACCCCTGCATAAAACAGAAACACTTTGACCATTCCCTCCTTCCATCTCCGATTCCAGCAGCCCGTGGAAAAAAGAACAGAGCACTTCCCTTCCATTATGCTGGTGAGCACAGGCACACTCAATGAGCCTGTAATGATTACTTTGGGAGCCTCTTTCCCTCCTCCCGCCACCCTGCCATCAATCTCTGAGGCAGCAAATGGAGGGTGGCTTTGTTGATTGGACAAGGCCTGCTTGCATTTTCAGAAATTGCCATGTCAAGTGCCTCTTTGTTGGTTTGGCTCTTCAAAGTCTGATTTCTCCTAAAGCGCTCAACATAATATAACTCTCTGACCTCTTAGACGCTGAGTAGTGTACTGCCGAACATGCCTGGGGCCAAATTCCCATAGGAGGCAAGCCTATACCCCATAATTACAAATACAAAAGGCAAACAATGAGAGATGCAGTTCAAAAGGCTCTGCTGGAGAAGTAAAGCATAGCAGAGGATAAATGATCATCCCAGCTTGTTGTACTGGCATCATGTCTGCAGAGTAGCGGAGTGTGAGGACTCTCTCTCTCTCTCTCTCTCTCTCTCTCTCTCTCTCTCTCTCTCTCTCTCTCACACACACACACACACACACACACACACACCGCCATATTGCTTTGAAAAGGGAAAGGATCTGAGTCCAACAGGGTATGCAGAGAAGGCACAGGCATGCATCACTGCGACATCACTGAGGACATCTGCTACGCTGCAGCAATTTAGAGATACTCTTTTCAAAGAGATTGTTTTAAAGTTTTCAAGTAGGAGTTCAGTTCCTTTTCAGTGTATCCATTGTTTGAAAAGATCCCATTCACATTCCCAAATGCAAGCAGCAGTGCACGGTCACCGGCAATATTTGCAAATTCCCGAACTTGCATTTACATTCATAAAATGTGCACTTTCAAAAGTCACAGATTAAGCAAAGCACACTTTTACAAGAACACAAATTAAAGCTTGCTTTTCAAAACAGAGAACATTTTTAACCATTAGCATTTTCATGCATTAGTCAAAGAAGGAATGGGTGCACTTTTAAAAATGTGTACATTTCCTGTTGCTGTGAGCAAGAGCAAAAGCAAGTCTGTTTATCTAGCCACTAAAATAGGGATGGGGCCAGAGTCATTGCAGCTGTAAGACGCACACTGCTGTGAAAACACCGGCTCAGCAATCATGGATTTGTGCAACTTGGGTGAGCAATGGTGAACTTGGAGATTGCCTGTCCCCGCTGGCCCTTGCACCTCGTGGTTTCCTCTGTCCATCATTTGCTGTCAGGCTGTGGATGGTGCTTTTGGAGGTCAAGAGAAATGTGTGTACAGTTGATGATTATTGCCCATAGGCTATTGCTTTTGGTAGTCATGTTCATATGTTACTGTGCTAGTCAGGGTTTCTATTGATTTGGCTTTTTCTGTCATATGTGCAAGGTGTTTCGAGAATGCTTTTTGCAGGGCAAACCATCAGTGTGAATGATATCATCTAAGCCAGCAATCTATGGTGTGATCTTGCCCTTTGAATCCAGGCTGACCATGTTGGAGAACCACAAACCAGACTGTGCAAGTGCAAACTATAGCGTGTTAGTCCAGACCAAATAGCCCAGCATGGCTGCCTCAGACTGAGTCTGCAGGGAGGAAATGCAGAAGGTGAGGGAGCTCGTGGCAGCAGTCCTCATCACTTCTTGGTTGTACGATGCCAAACCCTGCTTTGGTGTTGCATCAGAAACCAGCTCAGAGCACCTGCACAAAACCTGAATCTGGCCAATTCTGTAAGTGCATCCCTTTCTGAATGCCACCTACATCAGCTGCTATGCGGAGCTAGTTTATCTGCTCCACAGCATCCAAGAGAAGCTCAAACACCCCAAGCCATTCTGAACTTACGTCTGATTCAAATCTGCATCCTGGGCTGCCAGATTGTGACCGGGACAGGAAAGTTGGCTTGATGGACAATTGCTCTGGTTTGTCACCAGAGAGCTGCAAAGGTCGTATATACTCTGAGATCACGCCGTGGCCTCCAGAGGAGCTTTCATGACCTGTGTAGAAAAGGTGAAGGGAAGAGCATCTTCAAACCTCAAAACGAAGTGGCCATTTTTGAGAAGTTCTGGAATTATCGAGGTGGAAGGAGGCCGTGGGTGCTGGGCCCTCTTGCTTCCTTGAGAGTTAAAATGGGCTGGTCAGGGTATAACAGCTTCTGGATTTCATTAAAGGCCCCTTGATTTCCCTACCCTGTTATTCAAACACCAACGTGGGGTTATTCCAATGGGACTTCTTAAGAAACTTAGATTTTATTGCCATTATTGCTGAGCTGCTCAACCATTTAGTCCTAATGGTCAAGTCAATTCAAGTCATTTACTGACACTTCTGTTTAAATTTTACCCATTAAAGACAGAAATCATTTTGTCTTGGGGGAATGAGGCTTGCCATCATAAGACAGATATCCCTGGCCAAGCAAACTAAATCAGGCAGAAGGCGATTCATGGGAATCCATAGCCAGCATTCTGCAAACACCACCAGATCAGGCACCCCCTTGTCACAGAAAAGATGCTGTTTAAGTATGGACACTTATCCCAATCTGACTGGCTACCTGTTACAATGTTCACAGCGTGATCCCTGACTGGCTACATAGGAACATGTCAAGGAGAATTGCTGGTGGCAAGACAGAGACAGCAGCATATACAAAAAGTCTGGGTTGTTTGGAGGGCATTACTTCCACGCCAAATGGTTTTGCTCAATGATATCTGGACACTGGGGACACTGCTCTCTTTTCTCCAGAATGCCACCTCCTGGAAATTTAGTCTCCAGTGCAAGAGATGTGTGAGGAATCTGTTTTGGGGGTGGGAGTCCATGGGATTCCCTGGGCTCAGATCCTGCTTCCTTGGGGCCATGGGGCCAACTTTGGGGCAGCATGCCAAGTGCTGGGGTGATGCTCACGAGGAGTCAAGCCCTGCACAGCCCCTGCACAAGTGCCTTCCCTCTCAGGCATGTGGCTTGCGGTCTCACTTGTGCGGCACTTGACATGCGAGAAGACTGCGGAGTGCTCATCCAGCACCCCGTGAGCATCCATGGGCTTCCTCCTCCTCCGGCTCCCTTTCTAAGACAGAACCGACCACGAAACGAACCCGCTGACTGACAAGGGCCAGATTGCCACACAACCCCATGTGACCCAGTTGCAACTTGTGCTCAGCATCCGAACCGTCTTGCTAACTCGTCCCTCTCAAACACAGTCATCACGGTGCAGCTGCTCCAAGAAATTGCTTCAGCAATTTGCCCTCGGCACTTAGCTCAGATGGAGAGCTGAGACGGAGAGCGCCCTGCAGGGATAACGAATGCAGCTTGCAGGGTTCCCAGCAGGACCGGCTGTGATCCGTGCTTCCTGTTGCTCAAAGGCTGATGCTCCCAGGCTAGCACTTCAGGGGGTGCAAAGGAGATGCGGGTAGACTGGGAGCAGAGAGGGACAGAAGGGAAGCTAACACCCTGGCCTAGGCAGTCTGTCCTGCCCCTTCTGAATTCACCTGGGAGATCCATGCTTCCCAGCAGGTTGGTCTCATTCACACAGGCTAAAGTCTGCACTGTGCTTTGGCAGTCTTAAGGTGCACAACTGGAAAAAAAACCCCCGCATGTGCAGAGAGGTCCACGAGGGCAGGTGTTTCCATACAGGGAGCTAATTCTATGGATAGAAAGGCCCATCATGTACTTTGGGCAAACACAGATCTGCTTCAGCACAGCCTGCAGAATGATGCTCACACGACACGTTAACCTGCCTCCAGTTTGCAGGTCAAACCAAAACCAGTGGATGCAATGGCCAACTGGCTGCCATTTTTCAGCACGGATGGACTGGGGTGGGTGGGGGGAAGAGGAACTGCTGAGCTGTGTCAGTGGGGCTCCTTCTCCATTGGAGGGAGCATTATAGGAGCTATCCATGGTGCTGAATTCCATCCCCCAAACAGGCTCACCACCATGGGAAGCAAGTGAGAAGCTCAAAATAAAAGCTGCATTGGATCAGGGCCCAAACTGACATGGGAGCCACCAGCCCCTGTCCCTGGAGGGAGGGAGGGCAGGCAATTGTGACTGGACTTTGTTGTGAATGTGGCCCACCCCACTTAGGGCTCCAGAAGAGATTATTAAGGTAAAAGCATCCACCTGCAATTCTAACGCCAGCGTGGTGTGATGCTTAGGGTGTCGGACTGGGATCTGGGGAAACCCACTTGGCCATGATGCTCCCTGGGTGATGTGGGCCAGATTCTCAGCCCAAACTACCTGACAGGGTGGTTGTTGTGAGGATGAAGTGGAGCCACAAGTGGTGGGATATTAATGCCACAAAAGCAGGGGGTGGAAGTGTTCTCCATTGCTTCCTTCTACCCCAAAGGCAGGGAAAGTCTTTCAGCCAGGGGTCAGCTTCGGTTCTGGAGAAGCTCTCAGGCCACATCCCAGATGGGGGATCAAAATGGAGGAAGCAGCACAGAGCAGCAGGGATGTGCAGAGCTTGAAATGGGCTTGTGAGCTGAGTATGAGCCAGATTTTATCCTGAATCACAGGCACAGATGCAGATGTTGAAAGCAGAGAACATACTACTTTAATTATAGGGAGGACGGGAGAGAGAGAAAGGCAGCGAGGCCTGGGGATCTGGGGGTGCCAGCACCGTCCCCCTCTCAGCTTTCTGCTTCACCACAGCTGCTGCTGCTGCTGCTGCTGCAGATACAATTAAGCTCCTCTTGCTGGAATTTGCTTCTGTGTTTGCAGCCCCCGGAGGCACAACAGTGCCAAGTGGGGGAACACATTACACAACACGTTCCTCTCCCCACTCGTCCAAGCAGCCATCCCTCAGAGACAGGTGGCTGCAGTGCATATTGATCGCCACTAAGCCCCGAGGGCCTCGTCCTGTATTTACTGAGTGCTGCAGGTGCAGGTTAAAGGGGCAGCTTGTCACGGAAGGATGGGGGTCCCACCCCCTGAACAGAGACAACGGCGCTTTGCCTCCTGCCTGTCTCCTCGGAAGGGGCAGGGCAGGGCTGTGCAGCACACACAGACCTGCCTTCCAAAGCGGGGGAGTGGCTGGAGGGTTCAGGAAGAGCTGGCGGGGTGGCAGCCCCCTCTCGCCTGAGGGATGGCCAGCCCTTGCCCTGGCAAGCCTGAGCTTAGTGCCACAGAGTGTCTGGAACGGTCCACTGCATGAGCCTGGCTCTGCCTCCGCTCTGGGCCTGGACGCTCCTCATCCTGATTGGCAAAAGCCCTGTGGAGGATGAAAATGCTCCCCAGGAGAAACCAGCCCAGTGTGACAGTCCGCTTGATCTAAAGGTCTCAGAGCAGAAATAAACGGCCAGCACATGAAGACCCTTTGCACCGGATGACTCACACAGCGACTGCTTCATCGGGATGACTCCAAATGCCCGGCAGAGCACGTTATAGCTGTCTTCTTCTGGGGACGAGCAGCAAATCTTACTGATTGGCTTCCCTGGGAAGTTAGTTATCTCTTTGCCAGAAGAGACTTCAGTGAGCTACAGTTTGACATCATTTTGTTTTTCCAAGTGGGTTTGAGTTGTACAATCTAATCCAATCTGAATAGCCTTTTTAAGTCTCTGTGTGTTTGTTTCTACATCCTCGGGATGTATGCAAATGCTGAAACATTCCTCACGTGTGTACGACACCAAATCACACCCGAAGTCTGAAAGTGGCGACATTACAAAACTCATCCGCTCATTCACTTAGAACTAAGGGCCCCTGGAACTGTTTAGAATAGCAGCCACTTAAATGTTGCTGCTTCCCTGCTATCCCTAAATTAATAGTGCTAAGTGGCTGCTTCCCTTCCCTTCCCTTCCCTTCCCTTCCCTTCCCTTCCCTTCCCTTCCCATTGTTTTTAATCCCAGTCTCTCTAACTGAGCACTGAAATGCTTTCCCCTGGGGACAACTGTGCTCCCCCCACGCATGTGGAGTTCTCTCTCATTCTCCAATATATTGTTTAGTCATGGACATGCAGTTGAACAGCTGTGAAAACATTACTTTTCAGAGGAGCATTACTTCTATTTTTTGTTTTGCTTTGTTTTGCAAATCAAAGGGCTGGAGACTTTGGGAATGCATGTAAAAGATCATATTAAGGTTTCTTATTTAGGTGGGGATTGCAAAGGGCTGATTTATGGACCAATTCACAAAGAAATAATCTATTCTAAGTTCACTGGTTAAAGTAAATCGCATGTTAATATCATCATCTGAGAACCAACCTGCACTTTCAGACTAATTAAGTTGTGTTTCCTGTCGAAAGTGCACCTCTTCAGCTTGCTGGGGACAGAAAAGTTAACCTGCCCCAAACTGCATGGTCTACAACTCCCATCAGCCCCAGCCAGCATAGGCAATGGTCTGAGATTACGAGAGCTGCAGGGGCTAGATTGGGGAAGGACCTAGGTTAGGAGAGGATGGCCTGAACCCTCCCTTGTATAAACATATTTCCTGGAAACTCGGGAGAGAAATTTTAATCTAGTTCTTTTCTGATGTACTCACTTCCTAATTCCCCTTCCCATCCATCTCCCTGCCTCTGGAGTGTGCAGGCCGCATACAGATTATTGTTATGACACTGTGCTTATATGCCACCTCTTCTTCTCTCATGAGGAACCCAGGGGGACATCTTAGCTCTGTTTTATCCACACAGCAAGAGCCCTGCGAAGTCATTGAGGCTGGGAGTACGTGAGTAGACCAAAGTCGCCCCGTGCATCCATGGCTGAATGGGAACTAGATCTCCAGGTCCCCAGTCCATCACCTTCTCCAACTACACCACACGGCGTGTCCTCTACCCACATCCCAAGCAGAACCGTAACTCATGGATGCTTTAATCATAATAATAGTGAATGAAACCTCAGACCTTCTAGCGGTTTCTCAAAATTCTGTAAAAGTTCTGACGCTAAGCAGCCTTCTTACCTTTGCCTAAAGATGTAGCAATTCCATTCATTAACTGCGACAGAGATTTGCTAGGGGAGACAGGGATATCTGAGGAAGCCAATGAGTTGCTGCTTAGGAGATCAATCTTCCCCGCTTGCTGCCGAAACCGTTCCAGTTCCTTGGAGAGGAGGTTGAACTGCTCACTCTGTGTACGACATTTCTCCTCTAGCTCGCGAACCTTGGCCTGGGCAAACGGAGAACAGAAGGAAGATGCAGCGGAGGGAAGACTAAGGAGGCACGCCCGTGTGCAGCATATTCCAAAGGGCTGGTGCATGCCACCCCTCCGCCCCGCCCCGTCCCATCCAGGTACTCATTCCAAGGTTAATGAGATCAAATGGATGATGCAAATTTGGTGGTCTCTGCCTACTGGTCTAGCAGAAATGTTCCTAGCTCCCAAGCAGTCCCCCTGGGAGCCAGCCAGAATTCAGCGAAGGCTCTGGGGGTTGCATCCCAGCATATCTGGTGGGAGCCTGGTGGGCAAATTTGCTGTGACTCTTTGACCTACTGTGATGCAACTTTTTGACTGGAAAGGGGCTGTGGCTATCATGAAAATCACACTGCTGGTGTACATAAGCTCCACATGGAAGCTGCCGTTCCTCTCAGCTGCACCCCTCTGGTTTCGGTTGGGCCAGAAGCACATCTGCATGGCGCAGCACCGCGAATCTAACTTGGGAAAGTCCACCGCAGCTCACACAGCAATGTCTGGGCCGGACAGACCCCAGCTTATTACCTGGTTTGCGTATGACATGTGTCTACAGGAACCCATCCCCAAGAACATAAAGGGTGCCAAGACCACACCGCAAGGAGCAAACTGGAAGTATCCATCCTCATGTGATTGTGTGGTCCTGCCACATGAAGGAATGTATGCAGAGTTGAGGGCATGATGTGATTCAGCAGGGGCACAGAGAAGCTGAAGGGTGTGTTGCTCGGTAAAAAAAGTAATCTTCCTCAAACACTCAGCCCTATCCCTCTTTTTTTTAAAGGTTCTAGTCCCCATGATTGTGAAGATGGTGCAGTGGGACCCTGCATGATACAGATTACTGGACTTCTCCTGGAAAACCCGAATCCCCAAAATACAAGGCTGAGTGTATAAGCGGCAAACAGAGGAGCAGTTAAGCAACTGTGCAGCTATTTCCATAGTAGAATTTGCATCATGTCTTTATAGAGATGAAGACTGTTGGAGTTTATTGGCCATGCTAGTTAAAAATGGATGCTCCGTGCCCAGGAAGAACGGAGATCTCTGATTTCTGGCTGCTGGGCCGCCATGCCTCGCTATCTGTTGCTTGCAGACGCTTTCTGGGGGACTGGTTGGCTGGATGAAACTCTGGCCTGCTATTTTGCTCGGTGGCCTGTGCACTCGCCCCTTGTCCAGCCATCCTCCTTGCCATGGCACAGCAGTGCTGTGGATCAGCCCTAGCATATATTCTGAGCCTGCATTCCTGAAACTGTTCAACAGCTCATTTACAAAGCAAACGCACACGCACCATGGATAACTTCCAGACAGTGTCAAATTAGCTTGTTCAATACTTCCAACTGGAATGGAAAGCAGCATGAAGTTCAAGCAGGGCAGCTTTTAATCATGCCAAGACTTCTAGTCCTGCTTTTTGTTCCCAGATTCAAAATGGCAAGACAAGCTTTTGGGTGGCTCTCTGTGCAGAGGAAATCAGTCTTCAGGAATGCTTTTCCATCATGGCTGGGAGAATGTGAACCTCGATAATGCAGAGTGAGAATGGAAGAGGAATAGGGCTGGAATTGTTTGCCGGAGGATCCAGAGGGTCACCATGGTAGTTATCACCCCATTTAATATCCTTTGCACATGCAAAGACATTCGTAGGGAAAAAGAAAAAAAATGCTTTGCATTGTAAGAGAGATACTTCTTCAGATCTTCAAGCATGCTTTGCAGACTAGCCGAGCTAGTAGCATCTTCTTCCAGTTATCTTTGGCCTTTGGAGAAACTGCCAAGTGGGTTCCAGAATATTCCATAAATTGCCCCTCAACCTATTCTATGGGCAATGTCGTTTGAGGACATAGGGATGAGACGGGCTTAAATGGCTTGGATATTTAACTTCCTTCTTCTAGAATACTCTAATTTTGGAGCAATAGGGTTTCCCCATTTATTTATTTGTGAATTTTTACTTTCATGAATATTTACACTTACACATTTAAAATATATGCTTTTAAACAATGTATGATAAAAATAAGCTCATTTATATGGGGTAATTTGTAAAGGGAAATTTTCAGCTCGCATCAGAAAATGTTCTGAGGGGACAGAGAATGATCTAATTTGGCTTGTAACCAAGTTAGTAAACAAAACTAAAAAGGGGGAACAGGGTTAATCTTCTGCCTCAATACCCCACAAATACTTGCAGAGGAAATGAAAGCATTTAATAGGTGCGATGCTATGCAAGTTCAAACAGAAAAACGGTCTACAGCTCTCGGTGCTAGAAAAAATCTTCATGTTGAGGCCTGTCAAATCCCGCACGAAGAAAATGGAAGCAGCAGCCTTGGGAAAACACGGGGTTGTAAGTGTCAGGTAGGGAAGACCCTTGTTTTCCTGTTCATAATCCAGCCAGGTAGTCTGAATTAAGATGAAATCCACTTGCAACCTGGTTGTGCACATGCCGGGAATGAATCTATCTCTCCTATAAAGGAGTCTTTGGGGTCTGCCTATGCAGGCAGTTGCTGAGAATCGATCAGCTGCAAATTCGGTGGGGAAAGTTCAGTGAACTAAGTGCTGGAGCCATGGAATTAATTACATCGTCAATTCCAGGATGGTGCCCCGCTCAGTGGGTGGACCAGTTGAGAAGCTCCAAGTGACTGACCCTAAGCAGAAGGACCCACCCTTACAGTATAGTTTGTCCTTTCCAGTTGGGAAGAAAGGGGGGGAAATTCCATTTGGAATCAGCTTCACGTTAAGCAGTACACTTTAAACTTCTTTCCCTAATGCCTTGGCTTGTTTCTTTCTTGACTGGCTTCTGCAAAACTCTTCTTCTGTACTACAAAGCCAGCCTAGCTGGTTGGCTTGAATATGATGAAGTTTACTTAGAAAGCCTTGTCCTGGTCCGCTTGGACGGAGGGAGAGAAGAACAGCCAGGGCCGCAAGGAAGTCTGAGCAACCTCTATGGGGCATGCTGGGGAGTTTGGTCCCTGCCTCAGAGTGTGTGCCTTGAGAGATTGCTGAGCACAGAACACACTTTCTGCCAATGTCCACATCCCGAAGGATGAGCCACTGGCTTCCATTTCCCATCCCTTCCCAGTGGCATTTGTATCGGTCCCTAAGCATGCGTTTATCGTCATGATTCACCATGCAAAGGTAGGACACATTCATTGAGCAGTAGCAACTGGTGTGGGTTGGGGCGAAGGATAGGGAAGTATCCCCCACCCCCGTCTGAAATACCTGCATGCTGTCCAAAGTGGTCTGGATGAAGAGCAAAGCAATACACAAACACGAAGACACAGCGGGGGGAAAGATATGGAATAAAACAAAGATTTGTAAAAAAACAAAACCAAAAAAGCACCAAACAACAACAGATTAGAAAACACTTTTCTCTTTTGCACATTTCAAACAGGTACATATGATGAGCATATCTAAGATACATGCATAAAGCTATTTTGGATCCAGTTTGAGTATCGTGGCCCGCTGCAAAGGATCCCAGGAACTGAAGTTTAGTACAAGTGCTGCGGAGCCTTCTTTGGATGACCCCAGAACCTCTGCAGAAGTGGCGTTGATCTCAGGGATGCCCTTAGGAGCTTTCCAAGCAAAACTGAGGCATCTCAAGGGATGGAGATGAGAAGGACAGGAGAATATGGCCGTGTTTGGGGGATGGGATGGTAAACATGGCAGGAGCAGCAGTATTTCCCCTGCTTCCTTTGGCCCAATTCGTGCTTGAAATAGTTTCTCCAACCCTTCAAGGGGCACAGAGCTGCTGAAATGGGTGATCAGCTGGGCCACTAAGTCTCCCCAGGAGGCCACTGATGGAACAGCACTCTGCCGTGACACCGTGTCATCCTTACTGAGGCACTGTTGGGGGGGAGGTGGCTGCCTCCCTCCTCCATACATTTTGGAGGAACTTGGTGGTCTCCATGGCCTACTGTCAAAGCAGCTTCATGATGCTTGGTGCCATGGGAAAAGCTTGTTTTAATGCCGGAGCTGGGGAAGCGGATGGACTTCTGCTGCGTTTATCACAAAACCTTCTGCGCTGCAACACTGAATTGCCACAAAAAGTCCTTCCACTTTCACAGCCAACCGCTTGTATGGTGGCCACTGAGGGACAAGAAGAAAAGAGGAGACCATTTGCATTAAGTGGCCTGTGCTGATCTCTCCGCATAGCTGCAAATTTAGAAACAAATATTGCTATTTCAATAAAAAGGTGGTGCATCTATTAGAGGCATGGGTAATGTGTGCCGTTTCAGTTGAACTGGTCTACAACTCCCATCAGTCTGAGACAGCATAAGCAAAGTTGAGGGGCAATGGGATTTATAGACCAAAACAACAGGAGGGCACAATCCCTCCCCACCCCATGCACTACACTGTAGAAAGCTAGGCTCAGGGGGTGCCCACTCAGCCTGCTTTACATATGCTAATGAGCAATGGAGCCCAGCTCTTGTAGACCATTATCTTTCAACCAGAACTGTCAGGACAGCCCTTCAAACAGAGGAGCATCCTCTGTAAAAGAGGACACATAGCCACCCTTGCTACACAGAATAGCAATGACCCAAATTCCTTGATTAGAAGGAATAAGGCCTGAACGCAAGTTTGAAACTGGTTTTACGGGAGTACCGTAGATATGCCTACAGATACGCTTAACACACTCTAAAAAGAAAAAGGAGAAAAAAATCCATGCATTACTAGCAACCACATTGGCAGACATTAAAAAAAATCAATAGTGCAACTGCTTTGTGATCTCAACAGGCCAATTAAGCAAACACATACAGCGGAAAAATTAATAGGCTCAAAGGCAATGCAAGAGCAATAAGCGAATCACGAAGGTGAGGACAGCAGAACATTCGAGCTAAATGCGAATTTCAGGAAGCTGACTCGTCTCCTCTCCTGCTTCTAGCCCCTTCCACATTGGCCAGACTAATTTCCTCCAGCCTGTGCTAGGAGGTTGTTATCTCATGAGAGGTGATTTTTTATTATTTTTAAGCAATTTTAATATATTTGGTGGCACAAATGAAATTGTACAGATAAGGCTTTCCCGCGAAGGCGTAAACACTTTTAAAGGTAGGAGGAGAAACTGGAATCCCTGGGCCAGCGAGCAGGGTCAGCAAGGTTTGCTCTTCCCATGTGGGGCAAAGCGCCAGCAAGGCGGGCGCTCGACGTCCCTTTCCTCCCCCAGTCTGAAGTGCAGCATGTGCACCTCGGCAGGGTTCTCTTTGTGTACCTGAATTTCGGATTTCCATTCCTCCGATCTCCACCTTGCCACCCACCCCATCACTCCTCTGTTCCTTGTGGTATTCGCTTTGCAGCCTGTCCTGCGGTGTGCAAAGCATCTTGGGTGGGTTTATGCTTGTGGCGCAAGGTGCAGGAGGAAACAAAAGGTATCTCTCCGCCTGCATTTATTGCTAGGCATGCTTGTTAAGGCCAAGGTCTGTTGATCTCCAGGCTCCCAGATTTAATGTGCGTGGACATGGGGGGACGGGCAGATCCCACAGAATGTCAAACTTACTCCCTCACAGCCCCACAGAGGCCAGTGCTAGGGCACTGGCAAACCAGGAGCGACCCTCATTTCTGTCTCCTATTCACACGCATCGCTATCCCTGGATCTGTCTCGGTGACTTGCTAGAATGTGAGCGGCTAGCTTGGAAGGGTCCAGGGTCCAGGGGTTAGGCCCACTTCAGGGACAAGATGCAGCAGTGCACACCGCCATGGTTACTCATGGGCCACCTGAGTGGCTCAAAGGCCCTCCAGGGGATGCGCAACCGTTTAAAAGCAAGGAAACCGCAACAATAAACTCAATTCCATAGCGTTTAATATTGTGATGCCTTTGCATGTCTCTCCCACCTTTTTCCCTTCTTGCAAGGAGCCTTAATATTAAAAATAATAACTGTAAAACATCAACATATTAAAGCACAAGCATGATTTAGGAGGGTGTGTTAACGCATAGGTCCCTTTCTTAATGCCAAGAGAGCAACTGTTGTTCTCGAGGCAACATTTCTGATTAAAAAAAAGTTGGAGGGCTGTGTTGGTGTCTTCAAGCTGAGCAAGGGCATGATAAGCATACTGCATAGGCCAGAACTGAAAGAGATTTATTTTTTGTTTAAGCAGGAGGAATGCCTCTCCCCACTGCTCTGGACAGACCGAACAGGCCTTTCTTGTGCATTGATGACCGGTTCAGCTAACCACCAGCAAGGAGGAGCAATTCCAGAGTTGATAAAATGCACCCAGCCATTAATTCCCCAAAAATGTTCAGTAACAAAGATCATAAATGCCAAGAGAAGCTGTTAATGAAGCCAGGGGAGACATATAGATTGCAATGGCTTGCGTCAGTGGCTGTACATCCAGGGCAGCTGATGGGTTTTGACTGAGTCAGAAGGATTATTGGATTTGGCCCTCAATATTCTGTTTGATGCAATGACCTCCTTTATGAAGCTCCCAATAACGCATTTTTTCAAAGGCAGGGACCCTTTCTTCTTCCCTCCCCTCAGAAGGGCCGTTTCTGAGCTGTTCTGACATCCTTTGGCAGAAATCATTATAAGTTTCTAGGCTGCTGTTCTCTCTCCCGCTGTTGCACACCGCGGTTACGGACATGCATGCTAATGTGGATGCTTTCGCATCCCTCTGCCTTTTTGCATCTGAGAAACAGGGAAACCTGCATCAGTGAAATCCCGGTGTCTCCCTGATTTGTCAGCAGGAACCCAGGATGCCTGACAGATGGCCTTTCCCTGCCTCTGCTACCCCTGAGCTTCTTTTAGCTGAAGATTCCAACAGCCGAAACCTAAATTTTGGTGTGCAAAGCATGAGCTCTCTCACTAAGCGGTGGGTCATTTCATTTCTCTCTTGAGCTCCCCTCTTTTCAAGCTCATTCCATCCGTGCCCTTCACCTCTTTCCCCCATGCCAGTCCCATGTTCTGGGCTATGATGAAAAGAGGAAAGCGAGAGTTCTAATTTGCAAAAGGGAACCTACCGCTAATTATTGGAAGGAACAGCTAATTATTTTAAGATAAATTCCTTGCTGAAGTAACGCACCAGCACGATCTGAAGAGACAAACCCAGCATGCTCTGAACTCTTATCCTGATCAGTTAAAAGAAAAAGAAGACAGAGCGAGGGAGAGAGAACAAACAAACTGCGCTCACTCATTACGTGGCCAGCTGCTTCGTCTACCAGTTCAGGGGCCTACAGCTCGCAGCAGCCCTGCTTACACGATCGCCAAATGCTGAGAAAGACCTTGCTTACCTCTAGCAGCTGGACGGCACCTTCATGTTCTTTCTTAGCTTCAACCTGAGCCTGAAAAGAGATGGAAAAGCAGAGGAAGAAAATCCTACCACATTCCTATGACTTTTAAACACATCCAGTCCGATAGATCTTTTCAAGCAGCGCGGTTGGTTGCGTGGCTCTGAACACATTCTGGTTCTTTGTCATACTTTCCCATGATAAGAGGTTCTGCCCCCCAGATCTGAGGGGCATAATCCAGAATGCCTTGTAATGGAGGGAGGGGCTAGAGCTGCTGTGGGGCAGCTGAGATCAACCCACTTCTATGTTGCTCATCAAAGTTCGTTTCATGCTTGTTCTTTTCAGCTCTGGGTCAGCTGGAGAGCAGAACATCCGTCTCTCAGCAGGACTGAGGTCGCAGTTGAGATCAAAATCTGGGACAGCTTTCACAGGAGGTGCAATGGGGGTGGGGGGGGGAGGTAGGCAAGCAGGTGGACAAAGAAGTGGAAGACCCAGAAGAGGGTGGGCAAAGAGGAGCAAGTGGAGGACAGGTGGCTTTGGGAGAGCCCCTGGGGGACTCGGAAGATCATATTTGGTCTGTTACCCAAATAGCACTGGGATTTGCTGCTTCCCCAGGCGATGCACCTGGGGACAGGGGAGTATGGTTGCCCAGTTGCCCAGAAAGGGGCAAATAGGCCAGATGTTTGCACCTGGTTGAAGCTCATCAACATCTGACCACCTTTACACACCTCCAGAACAATTCCTTAACTTTCTAAAGTAACTGGTCCTTCTTTGTGAACCTCTGAAATGGGGGTTGTGAAAAGCATTCTTTTGTGCAGCCAAGTGTGTGTATGTGTGTGTGAAATGTTTGCAGGGGTGGGTTGTATTAGACTACTAAGTCTTTTCTGCTAGCATCTGATAATAATAATAAAACATACAACAAATGAAATCAGTCTCCGGAGTGCAAACAATACTTTGACAGGTAATAAGAAACCTTTGTCTTATCTATATTGAAAGCTTAATAATAGATATCTTTCCAGAATGCAAGCCCATGACAAAGACACAGAAAGCTACACACTGTATACCTAGGCACACTGCAAACTTTGTAATCTTATTGGATCTTCTTATCAGCACAGAGCCTCGAAAGACAATATTATATTCCTCTCCCAAAGACTGGGAGGCTGTGTAGGACAAGCCTGAATGAGGAGCTATTTTCCTAGATTGTGAGATCCATTAGCTCTTGATTATGTGATCAGAAGGTTAAGGTGAAACCACTGGTTATTAGTTTTGTTTGTGGGGAAAAGGCTTTGGAAACTCATAAAACGGTGGTGGCCATAGCCGGGAATTCTACACGTGCTTTCTGTGGGGTTCCTTTTATTTGGACTTGGGCCTACAAGCAAAAGAGTGGCGTATGTGGGGCTCAGGATGAGATGGTTGGATTATAAACTGGACCACCTTGCGAGAGGCTGGGGCATTACTATGTTTGGCTGCACAGCCAGAGGAAAAAAAATCTTTCCCATGGATCTGTGTCCACTTTCGTTGATGGTGTGGACATGTAATACAGAGCTATGCATCGCCAGTATGCTTGCAGGCACAGTTTTTTGAAAAGCTCTGCTTTCAGAAATGGAACACCATTTAGCAGGATGCTAGAGCTCATGGACAAGATCCCATGATGGTAGCAATAACTGGTAAGGACCGTGGTTCTCATAACACTGCGGAAACTGCCTGCCATCATGTCAGGAACTGAGTCTAGTGATAAGCATGCTGTTGAGTCTGTAATTCTCTGCTTCCTTCCAGGCAGGCCAAGATAACATTCTCCTGCCTAGAGGCGTTATTCAATTAATGCAAACATTTGCCTTTAAAGTTCGAGTATTTTGCAGAAGTCAGTAACAAAAGAAACTTGTATAGGCACGGCAGTAGCTGTCAGCTCTAGCCCTTTTTCTTACCAAAAGTCTTTTACTGGTAAGAAGTCAGTTCTGGACTGAATACCCTTCTCCCTGCCAAGCTCAATCACCCACACGAGCCATTAGGGCTGGTCTGGCAGCCTTGGGGCGGTCACTTGGTGTGCCTGGCATGACTCGGCTGGTCCGCCATCACCAGCTGATGCTGGACCTGGAGATGGCTGAGCCACCCTCCTCCTCCTCAGCGGGTTTGCCTTGCCTCCTTCCTGCGTCTGAACCTGAGTGACTCCTGCCTACTGCTGGGCTTCTCTCCAGTTCCCCGATCTTGGCATCCCAGCTGCAGGTTCTGACGCCTCAGCTGAGTCAGAATTTATTTTCTCAACCTTAGAAGGCAGTTTTGCAGGGGGGATGGACCCATTCTCTAGACCCAGCACATCTTCATTGCGTTTGAACTGGCTTCTGTCCAAATTAAGGAAGAGACTATGAACCAGTGTTGCTACATCTGAAGCACCTGATCTGGTCTTTGCTCTCTGCTCTGTTCCATCGGGCTTGGCATCACCACTTACTCTCCTCCTGCCCGTTCCCCTCCACTCACCTTCTGCAGGAGTTCAATTTCCTTCTGCTTTGCATTGAGGACAGCCAAGGCTTGCTCATGCTCCAGTTCCAGCTGTTGCCGCCGTTCAGCAGCCTCTCGCATATGCTGTTGGGTGGGGAAGAAAAGCATCCCATGAGGCTCCTCTGCAACATTCAGTGGGGGGGACTCTTGGAGGGGTGCCAAGTGCATGTCACAGGCATCTGAGGAGTTTAGGGAATTTAACTGTCCAACAACTCCTTCGCACAGATCTGCTATTTCTGATCATAGTTTTCCAGAAGCAAATCATACAAATGCAGGCATTCCATAGCAGAATTTTGTGATCCTGCTCGAAGCTTTCTCTAAAGGCTGGGCGTCATTTATCGGATTTGCACCCCAGTTCCTGGTCTATCCTGTCCTGTAGCTTTTCTGTAACTACAATCTTCAGATTTTGAAGAGGGTGTATGAGATTTTGGTTTGTATTTCAAGACAGCCGTGCCTGCCCCATTCTCAGCCTCAGATACAAGCAGAAGAAGATGTTCTCTGAGCATGTTCACACATTCTCAAGCTTACCATTGAAAATGGTGCAAATTTATGAGGAAAGCTGTCCAAAATTACACCATTTTCAAAAAGGTGCAATTCCACGCTTTGGAGGAGGAGGGAGTTGCACATGTTTGAAAAATACTCAGTTTGCAGCCCAGTTCCACTGTTTTTGATGCACTCCATTTCCCCAATCACACCAAGCAAATAGCAACTGTAAGCACTCCTGGGAATCAAAGGGCAAACGGGTCTCAAGAGGATGCCTGGAGACTCTGGATCAAAGTGAGCACCGCTTCTTGCCTGTCCCCAGTCTTGAACTGGGGAGACTTGGGCCTTGGGGTCTGCCCAGCCCCTTTCAAGACAGGTCTAGTTCCAGCTCAAAAGACATTTCCCTCCAGTCGTGGATGCAGGAGGCTGGTTGGGAACAGGAGCGGGAATGTGCACTGCTCTCTGGCCATGCTGTTGGCCTTCCCACTGGCCCTTGGCTGGCCATCCTGCAAGCAGAATGCTGGAAGAGGTCCACCTCTGCTCGAGCCAGGTGGCTCTGCTTCAAGCTTTTGAAGCATTCGACAGGGATGCTCACGCCACCCAGGGAGCTGGTGACGGGCCGTGTGGAGAGAGACCGCACGTCCCTTGGGAGGCTGTCCACACGACTCTGCCTCCAATCACACCACAGGATGTGCATGCCCCAGGAGCAATGTTCGGGGGGCGCTCCCCGAGGCTCATTTTATTTTGCATCCTTACTCAGGAACAGACATCCTTTTAGAAGTTTCTATATTCATATATTTCTCTTTAAAAATCTTACTGTCAACACGAGCTACCATTCCAGTGGCTTCTTTAATGTCATTGCCTTTCTTCCCCCAGGAAGAGAACTGGGACAAGGCATGGAAAGCAACTCAAATTTAATTCCACGCTAGAATGCGGCGATCAAAGGGGACCATCGCCTGCTCAGCAGCCGTACGCCCAGTGCCGCAACTCCGACGGGGGGAGCAGAGACAGGCTGCTGGCACACATCGGGCCGAAAGGAACGGGAAGAGAGAGAAAGTGGCTTCCTTTGAAATGTTGTATTAACTTTTCTGGGTGGTAAGCTCTTCTGCTGAGTGAACCGGGCCCTTTGCGAGGAAAGGCTGCATGAAACCATTTCTCCTCACTGCAGCAGCTGGCTGTTTCCTTCTTTGAAAACGTCTTGAAGATGGAGGGCCAGCAGGACAAAGCAGGCAGCACTCTGTGGGTCGAGTTTTTGGAATATGGGGGGAGGGGCTAGCCCAGGGGGGAGTCCGCAGAGAGCTGGCCTGGAACCAGAGGGCTTGCAGTTCCCAGGACTTGAGCCAACAGAAGAGTCTGAGTGTGAGATTTGGGGCGTACCTTGCAGGGATTCCGCCTCTGTGGCACTGCCACACTTGGGCCAAAGGGGGGCCATACGGAGAAACCCGCCATATCGAGGCACACTGTTATACTCTCATGCTTTCTTGAGTGCTGAGCAGTTCCGGGGCAATGCTAGCAGCGTCCTTTGAGGCACAAGAGGCTCAGGGCATCTTTGGATCCTTCCTCGTGGTCTATAGAAGTGCTCAAAAGCAACGGCCTCCACCAGTCCCTGCTGGCTGGGGATGATGGGGGTTGCAGTCCAACACATCTGGAGGGCACCCTAATGGAGCATGGCCTTCAGTGTGTGTCAAAACCTCCTGCTCTTCATTTCCTGAGCATTTTGCTAACAGCAACAAGCATTTCTACAGCCTCTTGCAGGGTCCAAACTTCTCTGCCCGCACTTTTGCCCTGCCCTGATCACGTACCTTTAGGACTTGCTCTAAGTTCTCCAGCTTGGCTCGGAGCTGGTGTTTCTCCTTCACAGCCAAATCCCGCTCTTTGGTCACTGCGGCGACGGTTTTTCTAAGCTGATCATAGTCTGTTTTCACCTAGAGAGCAACGAGGGAAAAGCCGGGAGAGCACTAAATCAGCCCCAGATCACAGCAGAGGAGAAAAAGCCCCGAGAAGACAACGCACCCTTTCACCAGACCACCAAAGATCCATGCAATTAATGATCATTATGAAAGTGTGGAAAGAGTGTTACGGGGGGCATCCAGCTTGGAATAATTTCTGATTGTTAACCTGCCTTTCCCAGTATTCCAACCTCACTTGTTTCCTTCCTGACCGACTGGTACAGACTCTTCTTTTGCACTGCAAGGCCAGCCCAACTGGTTGACTTTAACACAATAAAGCCTTTTAGCTAGAAGGCCTTTGTCCAGGTCCACTTGGACGGAGGGGGGAAAAACAGCCATCCCGTGCTGCTGCAGTGACGGAGCTCTGGATTTGGTTTCCTTTCATACTGAATCTGGATTCTTTAAATTAATTTGGCACCTTGGGATGCGGCACACGCCTTCACTTGCTGGCACTTCCACGGATAAGAGCCTTATTATTTCCCCTTTCCTTTGAATTTGCTCTCGAACTGGGAGCGCATCTGCAACTTATTTTCTTCGTCCCGCAGCCAACATGTTTCTGGAGCTTGTCAATCCCATTTATTTGTGCTTACACAAGTGGATCTAATGATCGCTTCGGCAAGCTGCTGTCTCAGGAGCATATGGGCCATACATGAACGGAAAATTGCATCAGAACACCGAAGGCCCCCCAGGGGCAGAAAGGGACGGCTGACCTAGTTTGAGGGACTGGGAGAGAGAGTCCTGCCTCTTTTTTAATGCTTTGCTCTGAGATGAACCACACAACAGGAGGCAGACCAGCCTGTTACACCCAAGGTATGTGCACACGCCCTCTCCTTTGCAAAAGAGGGAACAACAGATGTATTGTGGGGTGAACCCAGAAGGGACCCTGGGATCCCTTTTGCCCCTGCTCCACGATGATGCTTCCGTGACTCTGCTCGGAAGCACAGCTGCAGTTCCAGGGCCTTGCTGGTGGCACATGCCCCCTAGAGCAGGGGAGTTGCCCCCAGTTCAGTGTGAGGGCCAAACAACAGTTTGGAGAAAATCTTGAGGCCACAATCTATGTGTGGGTGAGAAAGGCAAAGGCAGCAGGGCTGGAACCCTGACAAGTGGCTGCTGAAAGCTTCTCCTGCAAGGAACTGCGTTCTACAGGAGACGCTTCAACCTTTTGGAGAGGGAGGGCATTGCACTGAATCCAGGAAAACACCGAACGGCTGGCGATTTGGGAAAGGGGCCTCTCCCACCCTGAAGCATGCGTGGAAAGAGCTGCTTCTCTGGGGGCTTCAGCACAAGGGTCTGGGGGGCCTTTGGGGAAGCAGGGATGGGGGAGACAGGGCCACCAAGCTGTTTGCTGTGCCATTTGGCCCCTTCCTTCGAAAGCTGCCCTGGAAATATTAATGCCAGAAGCCAGCCTGTGGATTTGATGCACCCTTGGACACAGGCCAAGTAGCCAGGACCCTCTGGCCCATCCTTCTCAGAAGGACCCTTGGTGCCTTCCGGGTATTACCTGGTCATACTGCAGTGCCTTGTGGGATGTGCTGGCATATTGGAGGCTCAGACGATTCTTTTCACGCACAACATCCTTCAGTTCATTCTCCTAAAGGAAAAAGAAAACATGACACCACACGGTATTACATTCCCCCAGTTGATCCGAGGGGTGTGCCTTGGATGTACGCACTGTATTGTGGGAAGTGTAGTTCGGTGAGCGTTTGTTGGTTTGCCTTCTAGAAAACTTCCATATCATCTTTTCATCCAGAAAGTTGGACTGCAGTGTGGCGCCCATAACATTTCACCCATTGATACAATACCAAAACCACAACATACATTAAAGATCATAAGCAGCGAGAGCAAGAGATGGTGATAAAGAAAATCATCCAGCTAAAACCATGCAATCAAGGCTTGGCCACATAAAAGTATCTAGTCCAGGAACCAATTGGATACCAGTTGTATGTCCCTTTGTTGGGAAATCATTCCAAAGTCAGGACACCACCCTAGAAATGTTTGTCTATTCTGGATGCTCAATGCCCCGTGCCTGCACTTGGAATGTGGTGTAGGGCCATACTGGATCGTCACAGGGCACAATTCCTTGCATGTTTAGACAGAAAAATGTCCTACGAGTCCCGGTATTTTCCAGGTAGCCATACTAGCTGGGGAATGCTGAGCTCTGAAGACCGTGTGTCCACGTGTGTCTTGTTTAAACACACTCAGGGTAGTGCCCTTAGTGCATAAGCAGGTTGAAAGGAAGCAGGAAGGATAGGGGAAGGTCCTTGGCTTCCAAGCCATGCAGGGCTTCAGAGGGGGCAACTGTGTGTTCTGTTTGGCTGGAGCACCAATAGGCAACCCATGCTGTTCCTATGACACTGATATAATATGAGCTCCCCTAGGCAGCCCTGCCAACCTTCCAGCAGCTGCACCCTGCATTTCTGAAGCTTCCACGTGGAGCTTCCCACAAGGGCAGTCCCAGAGATAACCCCTTGCAGAAGTCCAACCTCGTGGAGCCAAGGAACCAGAGTGAGGCCATCTGTCTCCTGAAAAGGCATTTCCAGCAGAATGAACCAGAGGAGCTTCGTATGCCTGTTGTCAGGAGAGGCTTTCCTCCAACACCTTGGATACCTGATGTGACAACTGCAGGGGGAGACGTCTTGGTCTTGTCACCCACCTGCACAATCCCATGGAGGTGAAGTGGAGGCCGCACTGCAAGTGCTTCAGTTTCAGCTCACATTTCTCTGGTATTACCCCAGACACTTTACATGGAACGATTCTGCCCATTTTACTGCACATGTTTGCCTCTGGCATTCAATTATGTTGATGGATTTCTATTTTAATTACATTTGTACACCATGCTGGTATTCCCAGTCAAGAGGGGCAAGATTTGATGGATTTTTATTTTAATTATATTTCCACAACATTCTGGGATCTTTAATGAAGGGCAATTTTAAAATGTTGAAGGAAGGAGGGAAGGAGAGAAGGAAGGAGGGAAGGAAGGAAGATTGTGGCAGCTCTTTGTCATCCACTACTGCCTCCAAGTTACATCTGGAGTCCTGCTAGAGGGCCAAGTGCCCCCCTCCCAAAACAGTCTTGAGGGGCTCCTCACCCCCCAGGTCCAGGCACTGAGACTACCAGGGACAATGCGGGTGGAGCTGTTTGAAAAAAGCCCGCCTGCGATTGACACGGGGCTCAGAAGAAACGGGATGTGGGCCATTCGGACCACACACAGATTTGGTACAAGCTGCTCTGTGTGCTGCTGGCTGTGGAAATCACATCCGAACAGCTTTTTATTTCGCTAGAAGGTGATCTTGGGCCCACCTGTCCCAGAATGACACATAAGTGACGGTGGCCCATTGTATTTCTGAGCCGTGAATGATCCCGCCATGCATTCACACACTGTCATTGAGTCAGACAAGGCTTGCCTTGTTTCATCCTGCCTTACCCAACCTTGTGCCCTCCAGAGGTTTCAGACTAAAATTCCAGCATCCCCAACCAAGTCAGCTGGGGCTGATAAGAGTTGGAGTCCAATACATTTGAGAAGCACTGCACTGGGGATGGTTTATTCAACCTACCCAAAATCGATCTTTTTCCTTCTCTAGCTGAGGTTGACCAAGACAAAGCCCATTTAAGAATCAGCCTCTACAAGCCATATACAAGACAAACCCCTTTAGGTTACTGCTTAAACCTTCCCAGGCTGGCATGCATAGAAATAAACAGATGAGCACACATATAGTCTTCAAGCCTGCAAGACTACCAGCTAATGCAACTTTGCCTGCAAACACACACTAGAAGCACAAGCTTGAAGCCTGCTTCCCAAACTCTATTTTTATAAACAGAGATGAATGCATGAAAATAAGAAGGTTTACTTTAAAAATAAAATTCTGCACCCAAAATGAAAGTAGGTGTCACAACACCAGTAAGTTTATTAAGCATCGACAAGATTAAAAGATGCAAGGGCACCCAAAATTCAGAGCTGTCGTTTCTTCTTCCTTTTCTTTCTTTGCCACTTTAGAGTGTAGATTCTATCAGGACTGGGATGAAGCACAAAATCTACAGGCATCTAACATGATACAGAAATACTTGCTGCTCCATATTGAGAATATTTTTGAACACAGCCCAAAGCTAACTTCCAAATCATGATCGCAAAAGCAAAATCCTTAAAAACAAATGTACCTATTTCCCAAAATGAGTGCAAGTGTAGGTGGACGTGCATAAGGGATGAAATCCAGGTCTCCCCCCTCCCCCTGCCCCACACACACACCAAGTTGTGCATTTTAAATAACCGTTTGGCACCTATGAAATACTGCAATTCATCAGAAGAGTGACCACCTCCCTCTTTCAGCGTGTGGTGCTCCAATTTAATAGGAAGACAAGTGACCAAATGGCTTTAACTGGCTTGCACTCAGAAATACACTGCAGGGGAGGAAAGCAATGCAAGCAAAAGAAATGCAAAAATAGCACGAACAATTACTTTTAGAAAGATTACCTGATAGATCAGTTGCATCTTTGCAGAAAGGAAGCCAGGCTAATCCCCAAGGTTTGAAATAAATACAACAGCAATAAAATAAAATAAAATACTCTTTCAGTGGGCACAAGCCTGATGGTCTCCCAAAAACTCACAGTGGGGTGATGGCTTCGGCAGATTTAATGCAATCCGACACCACTCTCTGTGCAGCAAGGTTCAACATTGCCTAGAGTTAAGCATCTGTTGTCCTGTGTTCCAGTTAACTCCTGCACCATTTTGCTTTTGTACTTGCAGACAAAATCTGGGCACTGCTGGAATGTGGAAGGATTCAGTGTGCTTTGCTTTCGACAGGGAGGTGTGGGGACAGCGGCGAGGAAGTGGCCTTTTGGGGAGCAGCGCTCTCTTTCCAGCCGTGCTGCACCCCCCGCTCCAGACACTCTCCCGCTGGTGTGTGTCCCTCCTCGCCACTGAGGCTGAGTGGTGCCCCCAGTCCCCCGGGGAGGGAAGGGA